GTTCAGCTCAAGGACTTTAAGAAGGCTGTGACTCGGACACTGTGTCACCGCCATCTGCGATTTTATACAGCGAAGACATTGAAAACATGCCCGGAATTTTAATATGACTTGTCCCCAGATTTTTTCCATTTTATGCTGTTCTTCGGCTATGTAATGTCTCGGACCGAAATAAAAGTATTGATTTGGGAATTTTAAGGTAATACCAAAAGTGCTTTTAAATTAATTATATAACAGCCCCATTTTAAGCAAAGAGTGTGCCATCGATTACCCGTAAACATTCGTCACGTCATAGGCAGCTCTAAATGTGCTACGTTTTCCAAGATAGTTGAATTGGTTTTTCTAATTAGTCAATTTTCTATAATTTACAAGATTTTATATATCCCCATTTGCACAATATTGTCAAAAAAAGAGTTGATATCTGTTGTTAAAAATATTTCAAAAATAAATGTTACACTTTTTAAAATGACGCGTTCCTCGGAAAAACATCATTAGTCCAAAATTAACATATTTGGAAAAATGAAAAAAACTCTCCGACATTCCCATTTTTGACCAAAGTACCTTATTGACCTATTTACTAAATGTAAAAAAATGTAAGATACTTTGTCCAGAATTCCTCATGTTTGTATTTTCAAACGAATATGAAAAAAAACACAAAAAATACATGAACATGTGAGGTTTTTAGAAGAAAAAAACAAACAATTCTCCTTACTACAAACACTACAAACTAAATACTAACTCTGAGTAACAAAATGAATAAAAAAACTAAAAACTGTATTACTGCCACACTCAGTCTTATCATCGTTGTCGACCGTGTTATCAGGACTGTCAGGTGCTATGGTCTTCTGCTCTTTTATCAAGTTATCATAAAATTTTCTATTGCTGTGGTAATGTAAAAGAGGTAGAAGCTTTTCTAGAGTGTCCAAAAACGTCACATGTTGTGTACATGTGACTTTCTTAGACGAAACGGAGTGGACTTGTGATGTTTTTAGAAGAACAAGCTAAATTTCATATTTAATTATTATGGAACCTATGACATTTTTACGAGAAACACTTATTTGTATACGTATACAGTGCTTGCAAATCCAAGTCCGACCACACAGGAAAGGACGGCTGTTCAATACCCGCGTGAAAAGAAGAAGGATAGAACGCCAAATAGAATTTGATTGGCCAGCCGGCAGGCTACGACAACGCATACCCATCGCGCACCTCGCAGCGTGCTTGACACGAGGATATTAGAACGAGAACTGCAGTGGTGCCAGCAAGAGCCTCTTGCCAAGAGGTAGTAATTTTAGTAAAAAAGATTATTTAATTAAAAAATGTAGGTACCCGTTGGAACAAAAAGTTCAGATTTTAATCTGGCATTTTGCTGGTAATTCTGAACGAGAAATTCAAAGATTATTTGCGGGAATGTTCGAGGCCAGACCAAACAGAGAAACAATTCGACGAATCGTTAATAATTGCTTGTTCGAACATTTAATTTAATTTTTCAGTTTATTTATTTTTAGAGTTTTATTAGACCAGGGTCGATAATTTTTGAAACCAAAAAAAATAAAAGTAGGATGAAACCCATTGGAAAAGGAGAAGAATATAATAAAAATAAAAGGAAAAATAAATTACGGGCGATCTGACTTTGGGAAGTGGGAGGGGGGGTTTTAAGGGTAAAAAATGGTTTATCTCGATTTCCGGTAAAACTACAAGTCCTATGGAAAAAAGTTAAATGGCAAAGTTGTAGGTAATAAAAGGATCTACAACTTTTGTAATTACAATTTTTTTACATAACCTCCAAATTTATGGGAAAAATTCAAAAAAACCAAATTTTTGGTTTTTTATTTTTATCTTTTTAAAAAAAAAATTTTTTTCCACGAAATTTGGTGAAAACTTACCTTTTTATGTCCCAAATACACTGTAATTTATTTGATTTGAAATATTTATTATTTCGCCTTATTTTGACTTAATATCAAAAAAGCACCCTAATTTTCAATCGAAAATTCTCGCGTCAAAATATCAGCTTTTTTCAAAAAGTCGGTGTGCTTTTTGTTTGTTGAAATCTCTACTTTCTGATGGTGTAAAAAAATATACATTACTATGGTAAATGTTCTCAGAAAATGCAAAAAATATAATAATGAATAACGAAAAAAACTCGAATTCGAAAATTTATTTTAATCATTATGTACAATTTCATCAAAAAAATGTGATTGTTGCAATTTTTTTTAGTTAAAAAGTTTATTTATTAAATTCTAATAACATTTATGTCAGAAAATCTCATAAAATATAAAAATACATGTAAATCATACTATTGAATTTAGATACTTCATTCTGATTACGTTATTCATTATAATATTTTATGTATTTTCTGAGAACACCATCAGAAAGTAGAGAGTTCATCGAACAAAAAGCACAACGACTTTTTGAAAAAAGCTGATATTTTCACGCGAGAATTTTCGATTGAAAATTAGGGTGCTTTTTTGATATTAAGTCAAAATAAGGCGAAATAATAAATATTTCAAATTTCATGGAAAAAAATTTTTTTTTGAAAAAGATAAAAATAAAAAACCAAAAACTTGGTTTTTGGATTTTTTCACATAAATTTTGAGGTTATGTGAAAAAATTGTAAATACAGAAGTTGTAGATCTTTTTATTACCTACAACTTTGACATTTAACTTTTTTCCATAGGACTTGTAGTTTTGCCGGAAATCGAGATAAACCATTTTTTACCCTTAAAACCCCCCCCTCTCACTTCCCGAACTCAGATCGCCCGTAATTTATTTTTCCTTTAATTTTTATTATATTCCCCTCCTTTTCCAATGGGTTTCATCCTACTGTTATTTTTTTTCTCTTTTTACCATTTTTAAAGGCTTCTGCACTGGTCTATATTTTTATTTAGAGTTTTATTTTTATTTGAGAAATCTTTTTTATTAAGAATACTATTTTTGTTGTTGCCCTAGTTCTCAAGGAAAAAAATCAAAACATTTTATTTTTAGGATTCGGGTATAAAATATTTAAAAAGAAAATTAAAATGTGCATCTCCACTCCAACGCAGTTTGCTTAACACTAAATCATTTAGTCAGACTAAATTAGTCTAAATGCAGCCAGAGACTCTGGCCCAGAGTTGACCTCGCTTACAATTCGCACGCATCCGGGGCTCTGGCCAATCAAATTCTATTTGGCGTTCTATCCTTGTTCTTTTCAAGCGGGTATTGAACAGCCGTCCTTTCCAGTGCGGTCGGACTTGCATTTGCAAGCACTGTATATGGAGGTTAGGAAACAGTTGGTGCTAATATCTAAATTTCGACGATATTGGACTAATGATGTTTTTCCGAGAAACGCCTCAAATATTTCGTATAAATATAGTACAACTTTGAGTTAGAATATAAATTCTACAATATTGGACAATTTGTTCGGGTGTAAGCCTAACACCACCTCAGATACCCAATGAAATGATTTCCCGCTCAACTGCAATCTGCATCATCACTGATTCATCAGTTTGCAGTTTTAGTTGGTGTTAGGAAGTGTATCATTGTGAGGTTAGTACCACATTTCTGGTGAGTAATTATAAAATATTATTTTTCAGAATAGGTAGTTAGATATTTGCAAAATTGTTCAGGGACTGGGATAAATCAATAATTATGACCTGGTGATCAAATAAGGATAAAAAGTGTTTCTATGCTCCTACTGTTTAGTTTGTAATTTATCTTTATTTTATGTTTTCAGTTTATATTAACTTAATTCTAATAAATTTTGGTGTTGGTCGCTGAATACATAGGTATCTAAATTAATAATTTAGTTTTAATTTTTCTCTGTGTAGTGCTGTCTCGTATGACATATTAATAATGCTATAATAAAATTTAAAAATGATTTTTATAAAAGATAGCGTAGCAATTTAAAACTTTAACACTCGTAATTTGTGTAAAACTATTTCCAAGTTGTAAGTAGCAATTTCAGTTTTATAAAATTTCATCGATAAAACTTTACTGGTAAATTTCTACAAAGATTTCCAATAAAAACTTTTCTTCATTTTTTAAAAAGCTTCAAAGGAATTTTAAATTTGTTTCCACCCTAATTATGCATGAGCATCTAAGTTTGAATGGAAATTTATAAGTTAACATTGTCAAACTAATCAGATTTCCTATTGCTATACTTTTTGGATATTCTTTTAAAACAAGAGAATTAGTTACCAGTAGGTTTATAACTATCAAAAATTATATAATAACACTTTAAGTAACTAAGAGAGTCCTATAAAACTGAACTATTACCTTAGGTTATATAAAATTACCATGAGCAATATAGGAGAGCTCAAGGTTGATACATTATTTCCGTCATGATTGTTTTTCACATAAAATAAATGTTAATCGAAGTGTATTATAAAAACATCTTAATTGACCAAACCAAGGTAAACCTTTTTTAATCTTAAGGTTAGTTAAATAGAGGTTCCACAATATTCCTGTTATCTCTAGTTATAAAACTAGGGTTTTATAGTGTTACTAAAATAGGTACCGATAACCTTCATAAACTCCCCAAATAAGCTCTTTAAGGGGTATATAAGAGTGATATAAATATTTCTGTAACCAAATTAAGACTAAGGTTTTATAATTTGGATGATATAACATTTATGGCTGCAACTAAAATCAGAACGTAAGATCTGTAAATAAAGTGGTTAAATTAAACGCAATAAAATGACCACCAAATTTCGCAACTAACGAGCGAACAGAATCTGGGGTGCCTTGGACTGTATCTGAAACGAAACGAAAAACAAAAGAGAGCCGTCCTGACGCAAATTAAATTATTTAAGATATTCTCGTTTGTTGAATATACATGCCACGTACCCTTGCATTATCATCCAGCAGTCGTAAATCTTCATAAACTACGAGAGATACTTTTGGAATACATAGTTTCGCCTATTTTATGCTTTGTCCCGGATGAATTTTATATTTCCACGATTTCCGCTCTCGTGTTACATAATTTTTCTTGTTGAGATTTTGATTTTATAATATCTTTGCAGGTTATGGTTCTGTTTCTCCTAGAACGAGTTGGGGTAAACTTGTCACCATCATCTATGCTCTGATTGGCATTCCCTTGATGCTTCTCTACCTCTCCACCACAGGTGATCTACTGGCAAGGAGTTTCCGGAAACTGTACGGAAAGATGTGTGGTATTTCAGTACGTAGAGAAACTCCACATTGTCCTTGTGCCAATACAGTGAGAGTTCCTGTTTTGCTATGCCTCATCATAGTTCTAGCATACATTTGCTCGGGAGCTCTGCTGTTTCACAGGCTCGAAAATTGGTCTTTGTTGGAGGGGAGCTATTTTTGCTTCACAAGCCTAGGCACCATTGGGTTTGGCGATTTGCTCCCTGGCCAAAAGGCTGAAGACATATCAATGTGCGCCTGCTCAGCCTACATCCTAACCGGCATGGCATTGGTGGCAATGTGCTTTAGCCTGGTGCAAGAGGAGGTCATCAAAATCCTCCGATATCTTGGAGGGTCCTGCTCTAGAACCGATCTCAGAAAGACTGACGAGGAAGGAATAATACAGGTAAAAGTTCAGTAAATAACGATTTCATCAACTAATGATTGTTTTAATTGCACAGGGTTCCTGACAACGACCCACGACAGAGGGCGCAAATCCCATCAAATCCGCCCCTGTACCCACCAGAATCCCAAATCACATAACACACACCACCAATAGCTTGCCGAGGAAGCCAAATTTCCAGAGAAACGCCCCTGCCAGGAGGTCTTGTGGGGCTGAACCACTCATCGAGTATTTCGTCCCCAGAAGCATGAGTGAATTTGACTTGAGTATAACACCTGGTGATACTCCCATGGCTGGTAACTTTTTACCACTCACAGTGAGAGCACCAAGGAAGAACCTCCAGAAAAATAAAGAAAAAGTTGTCACTTTCGAAGATGAAATGTCAAAAAATATCAAAAGGTGTTAAGTCTATCAAGAAAAAACATTTTTTAACCTAATTCTGTTGCAGGAACGCCCAAATGGACTTACAGGACGTGTTTATGTGACAAAAGGCATAGCACTTGCAGGAGACAGTTCTCAAGGACTTCAACACAGTCAAAAAAGAGCTCAAACAGTTCAAGAACTTCAAATTGTGCGAGGATTTAAAAAAATGCGAGGATAATTGTTCATGCAATGCTGAAAGTGATTGCGATATATGCAAAGTGCTGGATTTTACGCTCAAAAAGGATCAATTATAGTGAAAAATCAATGTGGAGGAGATTGAAAATATTAATGTATAAAGAATTAAAAACCAGCAATGTGTTATCCACGCCACAATCTGTTCTATCTCGTACTAAAAATACAAAAAATCACTGCAACACTGCACAGATTAATTGTTGTTTACAATTTTTGTGCTTTGGGTTTGTGCTAAGAACAACTATTTTACTCCTCTATTGTAAAAAATAAACTTTATTCAATCAGGACTGTCATAAAACTGTCAAATGTCAATTTTAAGGTTAAATTAGTATTTTTAGCATGAGATAGAACAGACCTTGTTGTGTGGATTGTGATCCAGACTTGCTTGTTTTTAAATAGACACTCTGTATATTTTGTTAATAATTTTTGTTATGATTTTACAATACTGTAAATTTACCACTTCGCTGGTATTTATATAACTTTTATATCACCATAAACACTAAATAAGTGATAAAATGAGTGCCATATTCCTATAAGTAGGTATGAATTCTGCCCCACAGTGATTTTGATGATATGCGGTCTATAAACTAAAGTTTATTGTCGTCAACACTTTTAATAAGCATTCTTACAGATACATAACCTCAATTATGGAGCTGCGTTCCTTATGCAAATATCAAAGTGAGTGAGCCTGGGCATATTACCTTATATTATTAAAAACAAAAGTATTATATAACAATAATAAATAATAATATTATTTATTATTGTTATATAATACTTTTGTTTTTAATAATATAAGGTAATATGTAAACCATTAATAATATAAGGTAATATGTAAACCATTGTTTTGATTTTTCATCTATAATTTTGTCAAATAAATGCATTTGTACAGATTTAATAATAAAATTGTAAATCTTTGTAAAAAAAATGTAAATAAATGCAATATACTATTATATCATTAAATAATTTGTTTTAATATTTGTCATTGACAGTAAAATTAAGGTTAGGTTTTGTTACATTGTTATTTTAAGTCACAATGTCTCATTCAAGCTTCATTGAAACTAATATGTTCGTTATAATTCTCATATTTCTATTCCAAGCGGGTATTTATGCGCAAAAGATACCAACTAAGAAATGCAAAGATGCTCTAGCACTAGAATGGTAAGAATCTATTTTAGATTACACCACAGAAACAATTTTTTGATTTGGGATTTAGTATCTTTTACATTAATTGAGGAGAGACTGCTGTAGCCCTAAATCAAAAAAGTGCCTTTCTTAAAGTAAACACCCAATATAATTTGATGCTTTGATTCTTATCAAAAACATACTTCAGCCCAAAAACGCATTTATCCCGTATACAAACCTACAAATATCGTTGTGAGCTAACATCAGAAAAATGCGAGGAAGACACAGCACCAGACATGAGGATGTATCTGGATATTAGTAGTAAGTACTTAATTCATAATAATCACTTAGATAACATACACAAACCAACGTAACTATATAAGCATGTAAGCGTTGAGTTCTTTCACAAGGATATAATGAACGAACATCAAAATTCAGTGTTAAACCAAAGTTTTTCAGTTGTTACTTTGATGCTTCTTTAACGTATGATTTATATTGTAGACAATACCGAGCCACAAATGACTGAACTGAAGGGATCCTACCTTATAGTGGTGGAAGTTAAAAAATATACAATTTTTAATGCAGCCATAACAGCCAATTGCAATGCCATAATTAATATCGACGATGAAGAACTTATTGTTTCAAAAGTGGTACACAGTTTACAACTAACTAAAGGGTTTTTTACTAGAAGCGACATTTCTATTGAAAGACCCTTTGCTTGGATCATAACAAGTCAAGATTGATTCTTCCAGTGTATATTAGCAGTTAAGCCCGAAAAGCCAAAAGCAGTGATAACCAGGGCACCTCAGGTGTACCATTACGCGGGAATACCTTTTAGAGTTCTAGGAAACGAGAGCAGAAATATTGACTTTCCTTCAGGGCATACGGGTTTGACTTTTAAATGGGACTGCAAAATATTTAGGGAACTACAAGCACCAGGTCCATGCACCATTAAAGGTAAGTCTTGAGCCCTCAACTGGTTTATACCAGCGTTGAAAGAGTAATTAAAGGTCGAACCAAGTCTATAATAAGCGTAAGTGATACCACCAGGGAAGGTGACCGGTTAGATGTAACATTAACTGTACATTATGGAAAAGAAAATGATACCACTAAAATAAGAATTGATATTATTAAAGATGGTCCTCTATTCAACCTGATGTAAATAATATACACTGTAATTAAAAAAATACTCAAGTAAGAATTCTAGTTGTTCAAAAAACTGCCCGCCAGTAACAAACGTAACCAACTCTGAATCTAGAACGGTGTTGAGGGCAAAGTGCGTGAAAAGATGCAAAATGATTGTTCCTGATTTTTACGATTGGGTGGTTAAAATCAACAACAAAAAAGAAGATATTAAAAATTCGGACAACTATAACATTAACAATAACGACCATGCGTTGACTTTGGAGGCCAACACCTTCAAACCTGGTGATGTGATTAATGTAACGTTGATATCACGCGCAGGTTTGTTTTTTACATTTTACGCGTTTCTCCTGCTTTATGTTTACGCCTTTTTTAGACAAGAGGCAATCCTTTTTGACCTTGTATGCTGCCCAAAAACCCATGTTGAACACCAGCTGCGCATTGGTGCCTAATGGAGGCACAGCCATGGTGACAGTTTTCCATATAAAGTGCAACAAAGAAATACACGGCGACTTGAATTACACCGTCAGCGGTAAAACTGAGAATGGAACTGGTAAGTTGAGGGTAAAAAACTACAGAATACCAACAGATTGAAACCGTAGAAGTTCTGATGAATCAAGGAAAAGATTTGGATGCGTTGTGTTTTCAAATAGGAGTACCGTCAACCATCCTTCTAAAAGTTACAGACGAAAATGGAATGTCAAATGAGTTCAAAATTGGGCACATGGTATGCCACTACAGTAGGCTTAATTCAATTTTGAGGTCCAAACTCCAAAGAGTTTAGATCAGGCCGGCTTGGTGGCCTCAAATTTGAATTAAAACCAAATACTGGATACCAACAACTATTTTATAAAATGCAGGAGATAGAGCCTCCATCCAAAAACGAAACATTGAATAAGTTAAACCAAACCTTGGACGACATCCAGCAATACATCGATTTGAAAGATAATAACAAAGCCATCCAAAAATTAAACGGACTATCCCAACAGATGAACAAAGTTGGTAGCGATGACGAGATAAGAGATGTAAACAATAAGATTCTCGATATGCTTAAAAAGGTAAGTGAGGTTAGGAATCTGTCATTGACAGTGGGTATTTAACCATAGTTACAATCACACATCCAGATTGATCCAACGAATACAGACCAAATAAAACAAATCGCCAAAACGGCTGGAGGTCTGTTTACGAACATTTCCGATCCAGATCTGGCGGTGGAAACTTCGAATCTGTGCAAAAAAATGGCCGCTTTGTATTTGAAAAAATCAGCCAAAAATGAAAACATTCAAGAGGGAATGGCGTAAGTAAGATTAGTGTTTTGGATAAATTCAAATAATTTGTGCACTTAGAGCTATAACCAAGTGCTCTCAAGCAGCCATGAAACAAAACGATACATTACTGGATATAACTCAAAATCCCTTGGATTTGGTGGAGACCAAAGAGCCAAATATCATCGAGGAAGGCCCCAATGAAAACTATCCAGAATATACGGAAAACGATGATGTAAGCGAAGCAAAGCAAAAGGTAAAGAAAAATGTCCACTTACCACACAATGAAAATCAATGTTTCTAGTTTTATGACTCCCTATTGAATGTCGAGGAAATTTGCTACATAAACGGTAGAAGCTACGTAAAAGGTTTGGTGCATGGGGAGGGACAGACGATGTTGATGACGAACGATGTAAACATAGCTACTGTTAAAGAACGAGGGAAATTTTTTTGCAATCTAACTGTAAACGCTTCAACGGTACTGTTGACACCCACTTGCGACTTTAAAAACACCCTTGAACCTCAAAGTGTGGTGGTAAGAATTCAAATACAGTTACCAGCAGCTGTTCTTTCTTCATAAGACGTCTAAATATTTTTAATTCAAGCTCTGTGCAATGACGAAGAACATCTTCTGGTGGTTTAAACATGAACCTTTGGTGACACCCATCGCCATGGTGATGTATAACGGTCAGGAATCAATGCAGTGTGAAGAGCCTTACGAATTGAAATTCAGTTTGTATAACCAAATCAACATCACGGAGTATTATGAGGATGAGTTTGTTTACAAGGGGTTGTCTGTTTATAGGATCATAGTAATGAGTAGCTATACAATTATATTTCACAATATTACCGATCAAAAATACAGGGTAATTCAACTGCTGAATAACTCATTTTTATTATAACATGTTTTTTAGATTTATATATCGGATTTTGTCAAATCAAACCAAGAAGAAGTTCAAAAAAACGAAGTAGTCATAAGCAATGAAAAGCAGTCTTTATACGTACCATACGGCAAATCGTATGTGAGCTGGCATTTTCTGAACATAATAAAAAAAGTAAAATTCCAAATTTAGTTTCTCCAATGATCGCTTTGCTTGAAATTTTTAAGGAGGAAAATCCAGTGCCAAAAATAAGTGTGGTTACTTATGGTTGCAAGAAGTGGAACAAGGAAATTCCCGATTGGGAATTTATCTGTCAGGTTTTTTGCTTGGATAAATTAGAGGTAAAAACAATGATGATTTATAGCATATCTTTTTAGGGGAAGTACCAAGAAAACACCCTTATATGCTACTGTAAATCAGCTTCAATTTTAACTGGTTACTATGATTACAACTACATTTATAAAGAAACACTGGAGATATTTGACGTGGCACTCGAATTGAAAGCTGAATATATTATTTTTGCTGTTCTAGTATTCTTGCTTACATTATTTCTTGTTGTACTGTGGATTATATCAAAAGGAAAACAAAAACATGTAGAGTGATTCCATACACTGAGTAAATAAAACAGTAAGCATTAACGCCCTCATAGATTTTAGATAGAAACATTATTTTTTTGGCCGATATACCCCGCTATTGCAAATTTGCTTACCTTATGGCTGTGTACACCGAGAAAGGATTTAAAAAGGGGACAACGTCAAATATAACGATGAAGATTTATGGGGTTAAATCCGAAACCAAAGTATATATAGAGTTTAATAAATAATATTAATAATGATAATTTTTTTGAGGAACATTGCATCAACTATCCTGACCCTGAGAGATACTTCCTTCAAAGCGGTAACGAAGATTGGTTTTTGATTGGTTCGGAAAATTATTTGGGCGAATTGACCAAAATGGAGCTGTGGTTTGATAGCGTTGGAATGCAACCTAGCTGGTGAAGAAAAAAGTTTGTTACCGTTACCTTGTTACAAAGGGTTTTTTTGTAGGACATGCAGTCACATAGTGGTCTATGATTTGCAGTCCACTGACCATTGGTTGTTTGTAGTGAGGAAAAAATTTTCCCTAACATCTCTTGAAGAAATGATAGTGACAGTTACACCTCAGCTTGGAAAGCCCAAAGGAAAAACAAGGAAGGAAAGATTCAAAATATTCTGGACGGAATACGCAAAGGATCACTTTTGGCTTGTCAAAGTGTAAGAATTCTGAACTCATATTGTCAGCATAGTGATATCCGGCACTAATGGGGCTTGAACCAAAACATGTAATATTTTAGGGAAAATATGGACCCATACACAGATATATTTAGGCTGACCGCCATATACTCAATAATACTATCGATCCTTATGATTTCTTTGATACTAGATGGATTGCCAACATTTCAAATCAGCGACTCAATTGAGGTCCACGAAGAATATCATCTAAACGGTTGGCTTTTTCTGTATGGCCTGATAAGTTCATTTTGTACGCTGTGCTTTCATTTTCCGTTGGTTATAGCTTACGGGTAATCAAAAATTAAATGTTTTATCCCGGCGTTTTGTAATTTTAAACATTTCTGTGAAATCGGAATTTCAATTGAGTTTACCGTTTTCGAGATATTTACAAAAAAAAATCTCCTAATTACGTCACTAGGCTATTGACAACGTTGCCAGTTTTTTCTATGGTTGCCAGTGTGTTTAGTTTAAGATTCTTACGATAGATGGCGCCACGTTATGATATTTTAGTTTTAAAACCACTTGATCTATAATTTTAGTTGAGAAGAAGAAGAAGAATTGATTTTTTGACGTTTCTTTTTTTCGGGTTATGTTTTTTTTAAATTAAGATTATTGAAAATCAATGTTATTGTTATGTTATTTGTAATTGATATTAGATATGTGATTTATTAATAACGGAGTCCAAAGCAGAAGAATCTTGTGGAATGGTTACATTGAACATTGGAGCTTTTAAACAAATAAAGTAAGTACCTATAATTATAATCATATTTTGTCGTAAATGCATTTCATTAGTATAATGCCTAGTTCTTTATATCCTTTTAGATATATCTTGGACTCTAAAATATCAAACAGTAATATGATACCTCGTAATAAGGAAGATATGTACTTAATGAATTTGGTGACCATTTTTCACTCAACTGACAGTGACAGTATTTGTACATAACCTCTTCGGGTATTTTCTGACATAACCGAATGAAATCATTAACAAGACAACTTGACAACAGGGTAATTTTCAACCAATAGAAATCTTAGAATGTTGGTCACATGGCGAGGTTTGTGACGTCATAAAAATTTATATTTTTTGTAAATATCTCGAAAACGGTAAACTCAATTGAAATTCTGATTTCACAGAAATGTTTAATATTACAAAACGCCTTGAATAAAACCATAAAAAGTATAGGTCAGAAAAAATTTAACTACCCCATTGTAACTTTTTATTTTAGTAAATGTGTTGCTTCAAAAGAAACAATGTATAACAACTTCGGTACTAAATTTTGTTGGTAAATTTTAGGACTTTAACCTTAGCTAGTTAAAAAAATTGACTTAATTTTAGGTTTCTCTTAATAACAAACATATTATGTTGCAATACTGCCTTATTGGTATTTGGATTTTACGTACCCGAAATCACAAGTTACTTATGGCTGACAGCTGCATTCTTTGGAATTGTGGTATACGCCATAATTTTCGAACACTTCGCCAAGTTTGTCTACAAGAAACTGTTCCAACCTGCCTTAAACGTAACACAAAAAACAACCCTTGAAAAAATACGTAAAACATAATTTCAGGCTTTAAGGGTGCAAGAAAAATTCCACATAATGTTCGAGTTTATCGAAAAACAGAGAATATTGCTGTATAACCGTTTTGGACAATATGGAATAAGGCCTTATTTGGAACACCTGTACAAGCCGTTGGATGAAGAGGAATTAATTGTAAGGATTCACTTCAAGGTCAAAGGTCATGTGTTTTTGACCTTGACCTTTGACCTTTGTTTGTTTCAGCAACGAAAAGAATTTTCTTACAAAAGATTGCTCGCCATAGAGGCTCTACAAGATCTCATTATGTTTTTAATCTACATCGTCATATTGTATTTGGTTATTTTGGTGCACAGAGATGTACTCACAATCTACAATAACAAGCAGGTTGAATTAGTGGTTAACGGAGATTATAAGGGGATTGATGTGACGAAATTAACTTTTACTCTTGATAAATATTTTAACTTCGTAAATAATACGCTGCTCATAGGACTACAGGTAATAAAAGTCTTATTTCTGGGTTTTTTGATGTTGTGAACAAGCCTTAAGACAAATATTAGCAGTTTTGTTTAAAACGACTGACAAAAAAACTAGCGGTGTCAAATCTGGAGATCGAGCATGCCAGAACTAAACTTGAAATACTTGTAGGACCCTACTTGGTACGACAACTACACTTCAGTAAGAAACGGGTTGATGCAGGATAAGAAAAACTCTTTTCTGGGTGTGGCGAGGTTTCGGCAACATCGCGTCAAGAAAAACGGTTGCAAGATTTACTCGGCAATGAGGTTTTTGAATGTAAGCTGCGATGCGGAATACCACATAGCACCGATGACCAGCGATTCTGGCGATTCGTGGAAGACAAAACTCAACCTGTTTCATCGCCAAAGAGACATATGGAGGTATTACAAAGATGAGGAGGGGAAGAGTTCTTCGACTACTGGTAGGTACTATTAATTAACTACATAGATATATAAAGAAGGAAATTTTTTTTAGGTAAATTTGATAGTTACCCCAAGGGAGGCTACGTTGCGCCACTTGGTAGAACATTATCCAACTCATTGGTAAACTGGATGCATATGTACAGATACAAATGGATAGATCATTTAACACGAATGTTATTATTTGAATTTTTATCGTATAATGTCAATACGAATTTGTTCACTAAAGTTAACGTTGAAGCCGAGTTAAGTCCTACTGGATGGTTAGTGCTTAGTGTGAAGTCCAAAACATCAAAACTATTGTTTCTGCCGAGCGACAAGAGTGGATTCTTTCAAGCGGTCATCGTAGGATTTATGCTGATGTTGGCGATCTTCGTCTTCAGGATCTTCATCAGACTTGTGATGAAGATGAAGTACCTCTTGAGTAAATTCGATTTGTGGTTGCTGGTGGACGTCATCATCATACTGCTGTCGATGGCCGTAGTCATCATGATGAAGATCAGAGACAACAACGTGAAAACTTTCATTGATGAACTTGAAAAAACGAAGAACAACGAGTTCATCACATACGAGTACTTGTTCCAAACTGACGATGTTGTGACCGTATTGGCGGCCTTTTTGGTGTGCGTATCCACGATACGTCTTTGGAAGTTGTTGAGATTCATGGTGGTTTTCAGACTTATGGAGCGCGCGATAGTTCACTCAATCAGCCCCGTTTTCGCCTTATTTATTTGCCACATGATGTTCATGTCCTCTTTCAGCTTGGGCGGTCATATGCTTTTCAGCAACGTAGCGGACGACTTTAGGGACATGACGGATACCCTGATAACGTTGGTACTGTACTCGGTCGGCCGTACCAACAAAACCGCAAAATCGATGATTTTTTTAACGTGGTACCACAACGTCTACTACGTGGTGTTCATGTTCGGCAGCATCGGTTTCAACAGCTTATACATATCCATAATCAAAATCTGCTTCAAGCAAGCTAAAACCGAGTTTTCCAACGTCGATGTTTACACTTTGAGGCATTACGTACGCGAATTCGCGACATACCTGTACAACTTGCTTCGCATCAGGATAAAAAATAAACGCTTGAGAGGAGGGGCAGAGGAAGAAATTCAACTCATCCGTTCGGTTTATCCGAAAGCAGATGATGTCAGATACGCCGGTTGCATCACACTAAACCGGCACAGAATGAAGCAAATGGAATTCGCGGCCAGGTGCATCCTACGCAACATCAAAGACAAAAGAGCCACCCTTACGGAAAAGGATGTGGATCTAATGAACCACACGATCTACACGATGTACTCCAACGCGACCAACGAAGATAAAGATATTTTCTTCAAGGACACCTCCAACAGGAAACGCTTCAAGTTGGTGGACGACTTTAGGATGCAGAAAATGGAGATGGTGTGCTCAAAAATGCTCGATAGCGATGAGCAATGGAAGCTCAAGTACGAGAAAAAACAGAAGGAGCTCTACAAAAAAATCATCAACCACCACGAGAAGCAATTGAACTGGATGCGGGAGTATTTGGAGAAATTAAGCACCTACTTGGACAAATACAAATTTTTATAATAACTACTACAAAATTTCACAAGTTGACCCACTACACCCCCCAAAAGTATCCAAAATGTTACCATAATAATCCACCAAAAATTTCTTCGTTTTTGTATACAGATTATTCAATTCGTGCGGATCCTTCTTCAAGTCATATATTTCTTTAAAATCCTAAAAAACAAAAACAGAAAAACGTTAACAAACATATTTTTAAATATTTACCAAATCATCATAAAATCTGCAAAATTTTATATATTTTTGATTTGATATATCCACCACACAGCTATAGGTGTTGTTAGTGGAATCTTGACATTTACACCAACTTTCCATAGAACATTCCTAAAATAGATATTTAGGAAGCAAATACACTCACAGGCAAAATAATCGATCCACACAAATTTCCGATGAATTTCAATCGCAAATAACTTTTTTATTTGATTTCGGATTTCTGAATATTTTTCCTGTATGAAGAACTAAGGTTGCTATGGTCCATTCATAGCCTATGGAGGATGACAGTGACAGTTTTGTTGAATCATCCCATACTTGGACATGTCATATACAGCTTTCAAAAGCTATCAAATTGTTTTATGTAAATGTGTTAATTTTGAGGTGTCTTCTTTCTTTTAAAAATGTCTCCGACTGATGTTGCCCTTTGCACTTTACTTCTTGGGACGTTTAAAACACTTGCCACGTAATACTGTGACCGTCCATCCTGGATTAAATTAATGGCTCTGGCAACATCAGTCGGAGACATATCCATTTTTTAAAGTAAGAAGACACCTCAAAATTTAAACATTAATTTGCAAAAAACAATTTGATAGCTTTTGAAAGCCGTGTATGGCATGTCCAAGTATGGGATGATTCAACAAAACTGTCACTGTCATCCTCCATAGCCTATGGATGGACCATAGCAACCTTAGTTCTTCATACAGAAAAATATTGGAAATCGCAATGTTTTTTTTTAATCCATATTTTCCACAAAAATAAATATATCGAGGTGAACCAAAAACAAAACTGTTAAGAATAGATGTGACTTGATAAATAAAACTTAATTTAGAACAATATACGGTTTTGCCACTCTACAGAGTGTCTTAAACTTATGGTAAAAAACATCTTTTTGTTTAAACCTGTATATTATAAACGTACGTCTGTTTTTTAGTAATTTTTTAAAATGTGAGCGATTGTCCATTAATTTATCTACAAAAAAGTTATTTGCGATTGAAATTCATCGAAAATTTGTGTGGATCGATTATTTTGCATGTGAGTGTAAACATTTTTTTTTATTTCGTGCATCCACCATTTTTTATCTTACCAATAAATGTTCAGGATCTGCCCATTTCTCTTTTACGGCGCACTGATTTTCCACAGTGCTACCACTTCCCATCCCATGGTACTCAATATAAACCCTTCTTTGAAACATTTTTTCAATTTTTTCAAACAAAACTTCTTTAAATGATTTTCCATCGATTTTCAGTTTCTCTGGTGTTTTTACGTTGGCCAAATCCAATATGGTTGGTAGTATGTCCACTGAAGAAATCGGGAAGCTAGATAAAGATTTTTTTTTAATTTTTGGACCGGATATTAAGAATGGTACTTTTATGTCCGTTTGGTAGGGTTGGCGTTTATCCCATGGCTGGGAAAATTGACCTTGAAAACCACTTTTGAGGTTATGAACAATAAATATGTATAGTTTGTTTACCAATATGATATCCATTATCAGATGTAAAAATAATATAAGTATTATCCAAAACGTTTAAATCTTTTAATTTCTCCACAACCCTGTCCACCATATCATCGACAGCTAATAAAGTTTGCAACCGATTTTTTTGTATCTCATCCAAAATTTCAACATTCTCTGGCAGAGATGTTGGTTTCATTTGAAGTAACCAATGTTTCTACATAGAACGTTGAATAATTATTATACTTGAAATGGGGTAGTTAATGTTTTTCTGACCTATACTTTTTATGGTTTTATTCAAGGCGTTTTGTAATATTAAACATTTCTGTGAAATCAGAATTTCAATTGAGTTTACCGTTTTCGAGATATTTACAAAAAATATAAATTTTTATGACGTCACAAACCTCGCCATGTGACCAACATTCTAAGATTTCTATTGGTTGAAAATTACCCTGTTGTCAAGTTTTCTTGTTAATGATTTCATTCGGTTATGTCAGGAAATACCCGAAGAGGTTATGTACAAATACTGTCACTGTCAGTTGAGTGAAAGATGGTCACCAAATTCATTAAGTACCTATCTTCCTTATTACGAGGTATCATATTACTGTTTGATATTTTAGAGTCCAAGATATATCTAAAAGAATATAAAGAACTAGGCATTATACTAATGAAATGCATTTACGACAAAATATGATTATAATTATAGGTACCTACTTACTTTATTTGTTTAAAAGCTCCAATGTTCAATGTAACCAACCATTCCACAAGATTCCTCTGCTTTGGAGTCCGTTATTAATAAATAACTTATCTAATATCAATTACAAATAACATAACAATAACATTGATTTTCAATAATCTAAATTTAAAAAAAACATAACCCGAAAAAAAGAAACGTCAAAAAATCAATTCTTCTTCTTCTCAACTAAAATTATAGATCAAGTGGTTTTAAAACTAAAATATTATAACGTGGCGCCATATATCGTAAGAATCTTAAACTAAACACACTGGCAACCATAGAAAAAGCTGGCAACGTTGTCAATAGCCTAGTGACGTAATTAGGAGATTTTTTTTGTAAAAAACTCAATTGAAATTCCGATTTCACAGAAATGTTTAAAATTACAAAACGACTTGAATAAAACCATAAAACGTATAGGTCAGAAAAAATATAACTACCCCATTGATCCTCATGAAATTTTACTTACATTATAAGGTGTAGCATTAAAAGATGGAGTCCTAACCACAGTTTCATTCAAGTAACAAACTTTATGTCTATCAGCTGGCGTGAAAGGGGCGTGACAGGCAGGGGTGGCCAGAGTCATAAAAAACGGAGATGTCTTAATGAAACCCTGATTCAAAAAATCTATGGCGTAGTCAGACTAAAATAAATGCATTAAATGTTTATTTTTTGGATTTTTGTTCTCACCATAACATCAGTTAGATATTGATTCTCAAAAAACCTGGCTGTTCCATTAATGGATAGAGTATAGTTGTAATATTTTGAATTGCCTTTAAGGGCCAACCACCAATCATACCCGTGAGGAATATGCTTTGTTCCTCCTGATTTCTTTGACCCGTACTAAAAAATACATTTGTGGGTGCAGAATTAACTAATGATAACTTTACCTAATATAATTTATATTTAAGTTTGGACATTTTTATGAAATAATTTTTGCACAAACATAACCTTAAAATAAACCATTTTTATATTTAAGTTTTCTAAAAAACGAATTCATGGCAACATAATATTATATATAATACATGGGTCATTTTCAAGAAACACCCGCTTTCAGGAAAATGAAGATCAAAATATTTTTTTGCTTAAATTGACTTTTGGTTGGATTTTTATAAATGTTTAGAGTTTTTTTTACTTACATTTAAGACAGGCAGAGCACTTTTTAATTTTTTTACGTTTTTTTCAGAAAAATGTGTTTAGCTAGCTTTATATGTCTCCACTGTGTTACCAATTTGAAATCCAAAATTTAATTCAATAAAAAAGTTGTTATAAAAATAATTTGAAATAAAATGTACTTGGTTCACAAACTTTTGACTCCAATTTTTTATTAAAAATTGTATGCTTTTTTTTAAATATGTATATTCGTTAAGTTACTTTTTAAAAGAAACCATTCCGATTCTTTGTTAAAAAAACAATACCATTAATATTTTCTTTTAGTCACTGTATTAGTGAATTAAACTCTAATTTATAAACACGTATACCCAAGTGATAGTGTATAAAAATCATTTTAAGTATTTTTTTTAACAAAAACTAAAAAAGTAACGAAATAGACATTGGTATCACAACGGACAGGGGTACACAAGGACTTAATCAGATAACGTAAAAAAGAAACTATATAGGGTGGTACGATTTTAGAGTAATGCATAAACAAAATCCCTTGTAGTGGTGCTCACTTGCAGAATAACAACTTAGATTTCTAAATTGTAGACACCCTTTTTCTTTGACTATAAGCTGGTGAAGGTCCCTTTTAGTACTCTGATCACCATGCTCAGCTACTGGAAATTAAAATTCCTGAAAATAAAAAAAACAATCAAAATCAATACAAAAGACTTTTTACAAGCAGAAAAATGTTATACTTTAAGGAAGAATTGAAATTGCAAAACTGGTCACAAGTTTATAATTGTGATGATTTAAATACTGCTTATGGCTTATTTAATAACATAGTGTCACTGACAATTAATAAAATATTTCCTCAAAAAGTTATAAAAGAAAATAATAAAAAATGGATTACCAAAGGAATTTTGATATCAACTAAGAACAAAAGAAAACTTTATATGCAAAAAATAAATGGTAAAATAGGTCTTGAATTTTATAAAAAATATTGTAAAGTCTTAAAAAAAGTAATTCATGCAGCCAAGCTTAGATCTGATGAAAAATATATTGAAATGTCATCAAATAAAGGAAAAGCTATGTGGAACATTATAAAAAATTACTCAACTGCAAATAAAACTAAAAACCAAGAATCTCTAATAGAATGTTTTAAAGAGAAAAATATTAATGATCCAACCTCAACATTAAATGAAATAAATAATTTTTTCATCCATCAATGTGGTCATGAAACTGTTAATAACTTATTAAGACTAAAAACTACAAATTATTCAATATTTTTAAAACCTACCAACTATACTGAAGTCTATAATTTGATAATGGATCTTAAGAATACTACTGCAGCTGGCTTTGACAACATAACGGTAAAAATACTTAAAAATTCAGCCTTAGAACTGCTACCACCATTAACTCATTTAATAAATATATCTTTAAATTCTGGAATTTTTCCAGATTTATTAAAAACTGCAGAAGTATTGCCAATTTATAAAAAAGGAGACAAAACCAATATTGGAAACTACAGACCAATAGCACTTTTATCAAACATAAGTAAAGTCTTTGAAAAAATTATATATCATAGACTAATATCATATTTTGAACAAAAGCAAATACTATCTAAAACGCAAAACGGATTCAGACAGGGTAAATCAACTATTAGAGCCATATTTCAAAGTATGACATTATTATTAGATGCACTCAATAATTCCGAAAAAACATCACTTGTATTCATTGACTTATCAAAGGCTTTTGATAGTGTGTGTCATAAAACACTACTACAGAAACTGGAATGCTATGGAGTAAGAGGAATAGCCCTAAAACTGATCTCAAGCTATCTTAATAATCGAAAACAATGTGTAATAGGAAAATCAGCTGAAGGCTTAAAATTAAAATCCGATTTCAAAATAATTGATAAGGGTGTACCTCAAGGTTCAATCTTAGGCCCCCTATTATACATTATATATGCAAACGACTTACCTCAGTACATCAATGTTCCTGTTGTATCCTATGCGGATGATACCACACTTATTATAAAGGAAAGCTCAATGGAAAATCTTCAAAATAAAATACTAAGCTCACTTGATGACATGGAAAACTGGTCCACCAACAATAGCCTAAAATTAAATGTAAACAAAACACAAATAATTAATTTTTCTTTTTGGAAAAACTACGAAAAGTTAACACTTACCAGAAATAATAGCATCCTATCAACACAGGAGTCTGCCAAATTCCTAGGAGTATATATTGATCATAGGCTTGACTGGTCAGTACATATAAATAACCTAGCAAAATCCTTGGCCAAAGATATCTACGGACTAAGCGTAATTTCAAAACATGTAAACAAAAAAGCTGCAATTACGATGTATAATGCATATGTAGAGTCTAAGCTTAGATATGGAATAATTTTCTGGTACAATTCGACTGATCTATACAGAATTGAAGTTCTTCAAAAAAGATGCTTAAGAAATATACTCAGTCTAAGTCAAATGACATCTTGCAAGCCTTATTTTTTAAACAATAATATCCTGACACTTGCTGGCCTATACATATATGAAGCAGTAATGTTCATTAAAAAAAATGAGGACTTGTTTAACAGTCAAGATCATATTTATAGTACAAGATACAAGCAAAACCTAACAACAGATTTAATACGATTTTCCTATCTACAAAAAAATGTTTGCTATAAAATAGTAAAAATATATAACCACCTACCTGCTATCGTAAGAGAACTTCCACTCAAAAAATTAAAGAATCGTCTGAGACTTGTATTGTCGAAGAAATGTTATTATCACACTGAAGAATTCATGAATGACCGACAAATTCAATCTTTTGATTTATGGAATGTCAAGGCCGACCCAAACAAACAATAACACATGTTTTTGTTTAATACAATTTCTTTATTGTTTTTTTTTGTTGTTATGTATATTTACACTTTATTTTATGAATGATTTTGTATTAATTAATTTCTCTTTTTTTTGACATGTTCTACACTATTGTATTATGGTATTTTTTGAACAAATAAACGGTATTATTATTATTATTATTATTATTATTATTATTTTATATTGCGTGGAATTTTTCCTTGGATGTAATCTATATCATGAGTTGTAATTACAAATAATTTTAAATTGATTAATCATAAACTACTTTTAATAAAAGTGACGGTAAATAACCACTTTGTTGTCGAAAAATTCTATTGCGTTACCCTAAATTCCATTGCGTTACCATAAGGTAACATAGTGGACTCGGTAACGCAGTGGACAGACATTATAGTCATTAATAACTCTCAATGAGCTTTAGTGACCTAAAATAAACATAAACATGAAAAATAGTATTTTTTCTTACCTTATTTCTATTATTTTTTGAGTAACTTAGCGGACAAACAATTATTACATTCGCGTTACCCGCACCTGTTTCAACCGATATCTTCTTCCTGATTGAATAAATAAATTCAGCTGGGTAATGTGTACGTCCGAACATCATTTGTTGATCACGTGAGTATCAAAAAAGTTGCCATATATACGTTTTTTTTAAATATTCTATCGGTAACGCGACGGACGTAACGCAACGGAAAAAATGTCTGGGACATGAGTCAAATTTAAAAAAAGTAGTTTAAAATTAATTATTTTATATATAAATTGTTTACTGTATTAACTAAGGATGTTATGGATTGCTATAAAGTAACACAAAGTTCTGGTTATTCAATATTTAAAAAAAAACATGTATGTAAGTTTTATAAAACGCTAATACGACATGCGAAAATGTGTGTTTTACAAGTTTCAAAATTAAAAAAAAATTATTCTGAAATAACTAAACAAAAATTTTCTGAAAGAGTTTATTAAGGGCTTGTTAGGCTTTCACTTGGTTTTTAAATCAATAAGATCCGATAATTTTTAACAAAGTTATTGGAATTCAAACTATGTACTTAGGTATAACTTAATCCAAACTGCTTTCTTACCTGATTTAAGTATTTCCCAGCGTAAAAATTTGTATAACCCCCTCTATTTTTCAATAATGCTGCTATAGTGTAAGGTTCATGATTATTTTGCCAATACTGACTACTACAATTGCCATCCAATGAATTATTTGTAACACCAGTATTGTGAAGATATTTTCCTGTCAAAATTGTGCTTCTACTAGGGCAACAAATAGGCGAATTCACAAACTAAAAACATTTGGATTATATTTTTTGAGTTTTTGTATAGTTTATTTTTAATTTTTTGATTTTAATCTGCTGTAATAATTAACTTAACTTAATCTTAACATGATATTAGGCAACACATGCTACACAAACTGTATAGTAAATAAGATTTTAACATTATTTTAATACTTACTGAATTCTCAAATGTTTTTCCTTGATTGCCGATTTTTTTCACAGTATTTTTCATCGGTTTCTATAAAATTTAATAAAAAAATACACTCACAGGCAAAATAATCGATCCACACAAATTTTCGATGAATTTCAATCGCAAATTACTTTTTTGTCTGATGCAGGGAATGGTAAGTTTAAACGATATTCATTAATACACTCACAGGCAAAATAATCGATCCACACAAATTTTCGATGAATTTCAATCGCAAATAACTTTTTTATTTGATGTCGGATTTAAACAAATATTAAAGAATATTGTAGATACATTAATGGAGAATCGCTCACATTTTAAAAAATTACTAAAAAATAGACGTACGTTTATAATATACAGGTTTAAACAAAAAGATGTTTTTTACCATAAGTTTAAGACACTCTGTAGAGTGGCAAAACCGTATATTGTTCTAAATTAAGTTTTATTTATCAAGTCACATCTATTCTTAACAGTTTTGTTTTTGGTTCACCTCGATAGATTTATTTTTGTGGAAAATATGGATTTTTTTAAAAAACATTGCAATTTGCAATATTTTTCTGTATAAAGAACTAAGGTTGCTATGGTCTATCCATAGCCTATGGAGGATGACAGTGACAGTTTTGTTGAATCATCCCATACTTGGACATGTCATACACGGCTTTCAAAAGCTATCAAATTGTTTTTTGCAAATTAATGTTTAAATTTTGAGGTGTCTTCTCACTTTAAAAAATGGATATGTCCCCGACTGATGTTGCTAGAACCATTAATTTAATCCAGGATGGACGGTCACAGTATTACGTGGCAAGTGTTTTAAACGTCATAAGAAGTAAAGTACAAAGGGCAACATCAGTCGGAGACATTTTTAAAAGTAAGAAGACACCTCAAAATTAACACATTAACTTACAAAAAACAATTTGATAGCTTTTGAAAGCTGTATGACATGTGACATGTCACATGTCCAAGTATGGGATGATTCAACAAAACTGTCACTGTCATCCTCCGTAGGCTATGGATGGACCATAGCAACCTTAGTTCTTCATACAGACTTGATAAATAAAACTTAATTAAGAACAAAATACGGTTTTGCCACTCTACAGAGTGTCTTAAACTTATGGTAAAAAACATCTTTTTGTTTAAACCTGTATATAATAAACGTACGTGTATTTTTTAGTAATTTTTAAATTGTGAGCGATTCTCCATTGATTTATCTACAATATTCTTTAATATTTGTTTAAATCCGACATCAAATAAAAAAGTTATTTGCGATTGAAATTCATCGAAAATTTGTGTGGATCGATTATTTTGCCTGTGAGTGTATTAATGAATATCGTTTAAACTTACCATTCCCTGCAATAAAATATCCTGGTCATCGGTCAAAATAAATACAAAATTTGGAAATTTTGCGTTTGTTTCGTCGAATACCAACAAATAAAGCAAAAATATGAATACATGCATCTTGAACAATTTATAGGTTATGTTATGGTCACCGAAATTGGATTTTTATTCACAGAGGGTAAAAAAAAGCACAATAACGACAAAATTATTTATTCAACATCATCATTACCCACATTGTAGCTAACCCCTAACATAAAATTATATAAAAAAACACCTTATATTTTATTTTAAACAGCTGATGGTATCAATTCCATTCCCTGGCATTCCTGAGCGATTTTAATGCCCACTGCAAACATAGCTATGCTTTTTACAACGGACCTAAAATATAATAAAAAAATATTAATCAATTCACGCGACATAACCTCAAAATGTTTAAATTTTTTACCATTTAAAATCGTCCAAGTAAATGCTGAGAATGTAGGAGCCAATTCCGCCTTGTGCCATTTTTCGGTGTTTTTAGTTTTTATTTCGGTTTTTTTTCTTTTAAATCGTGCTTTGAAATGAGTATTATTTGTGTAGGTTATGAAAAAATCAATGATGACAGGTCGGTATAGTAGGTGGCTTTACCGAGGGTTTAAGGACTTGGTTGTTTTAACGGTAGATGGCGTTTCAAATGTTATTTTATATTTACGTGTATTTTTTAATCAAATCGATATTTTATTAATACTTTTTTACTTTAATAAGCATTTTATCACTCTAATTACATTCTTTATTTATATTTTATACAAACAGAGATATCCAGTATCAAATTTCTAAAGTACTTATGTAGATATCAAAAACATGTGATAAATAAAATTCAATTTAAAAATACATAACAATAGGTTTAAATGACAATCTATGCAGATATTTTAAAGCAGTATATTAAAAATGTTCATTCGGTAAGTGTCTATCCATAAATAATATATGGGTGAATATATTGAAACAAGTGAAAATGATTATTTTTTATTTTTGGTTGTTTTACTGTTAGTCTAGAATGGGGTTTTTGGGAAGCCCCCAGGTCCAGTAATAACATGACATAAGTGGTTCTGCACTAATGCAAGAATTTAAGAAATCATACATTTTGAATATTAGAGCTTCACGGAGGTTAGGATTTCGTATTTATAAAAAAATCTATCTACTTCACGGTGGATAGGTTTTTAAATATCAAATTAATGAACTTAAACTTTTGAATTATGAAACAGCAACACTCTCATCTGCATATAAATTCTAACTGACCTTCAGGAATCACATGCATCTATAATGTCGTAAACAGAGGTTTTTGCTTATTTAAAATGATTAAGGCGCCTCCGTTGCATAAAAATTAAAGCAAAAACAGATTCACGGAGGATAGAATCAATTTTTATAACATAAATGGTTATAAAAATTATTTCTTTTAATTTTTAATAATATTTTATATTTGATTCGATTGCCTTGGATGTGTTTATAAACAAAAAATTATAATTTAATTAGTGAAATGATATTTTTAATATGCTTTTACTACCTCAGATATTTGAAAACATATAGGTTAACCTAGAAAGATTAACAGTCACGGAGGATAGGTTTTAGCTTAACTAATGTTTTTACAACAAAATGATTTAATTTGATATTTATAACGAGAAATTGGAATAAATACTTAACTATAAAAATTATTTTGCGTATTTTTCAAAAATTGTTATACTTTTAGGTTGGTTTACGTTGTTGCCTTTTTGGCAATAGCTACACAAGGTGCTGATCATAATATTATTCTAGATTGTAAGAGAGTATCTTTTTGCAAGTAAGTGAAAATAAAAAAAATCTCCAATTGTAGACTATTTCATTTTTTTTTCGTAGCACCTTTCGCTCCAAAACTCCAAATGAAAATACTACATACAAAGCAAATTTGGAGAGTTTAGATATTCATGGGGGAGTCGCAAAAATAAATCTAACAAACCAAGATGAAGATACATTGATTTTGCAGATTTCTGCTTTAGAGGGAGACAAATTTCGTGTCACCATAGAAGAACTCGATTCTAGAAGGTATAGGTTGAAGGATGTTTTGTTAGAGGAACCGGGAGTTGTTAAGTAAGCATTGAGGTCTGATTATCTCTTGACATTATTTTTATCATTATTATTTTAGAATTAAGTATTCTAAAGTTGCATATGGAGAGTTGGTACTAGCAGAGTCAGAAGTATCCAAAAATAGAGTTGTTGTTCAAGGTAACCCGTTTAGTATACAGTTTTGGAAGGATGACTCTATACAATTGATCATTGATGGAACCAAACTCATTATGGAAAAGGTGACATGCATTTTAATAACTGCAAGGTGACACAACAACAATAAAATTTCAGAACGACCAGGATGAACCCTTCACACTATCCATGAAATTCCCTAATGCCCAGCAAATCTATGGTATCCATGAGCATGCTGACGCGTTAGCTCTGCGCAATACCATCAATTCAACCAGTGACCCTTATAGGTTAAGAAACTTGGATGTATCTGGTTATGAACTAAACTCACCCATGTCCTTGTACGGAGCTATACCTCTGCTGTATGGTCATGGGTAAGTCAATGTAAAATCTTACCTTTGGAAAAGTTTTTTCATACATAACTCGCATAGTAAATTGATTCTTTTTTTAGTTCGAACGGTACATCTGGTATATTTCTTCACAACGCTGCCCAGCAATGGTACGATTTAAATGAGAATGAAGTGTACATCATGGTACAGAGCGCCATGTTGGATCTTTTCGTTCTCCTGGGTCCAAAACCGAAAGATGTGCTTAAACAGTACGCTAGTTTAACTGGCGTTTCACACATGCCCCAAGTAAGTATTAAAACGTGCAGTATTGAAAATTATTTTATCAATTATTCAGCAATGGGTCCTGGGTTACCACCAATCGCGATGGAACTACGATAACCAAACAGACGTTGAAGAAGTTATAGCCAACATGGACAAAAATAATTTCCCAATGGACGTTATATGGTTGGATATTGAATACACCAACGGTCGTAGGTACTTTACGTGGAACCCAGAGAATTTTAGCAACCCTGTAGGAATGCAAAAAAATATTTCATCAACAAACAGAAAGCTCATCACCATCATAGATCCCCATATCAAAGTTGATGATGACTATAAGGTTTACACTGGAGCTAGGGATGCCAAATTGTTCGTAAAAAATAGTGATGGGTCGGATTTTCAAGGTAAAATGCATGGTACACTAAGTGTACCATGGTAAAACGTCTTCCATGTTCTTCAGGAGTCTGCTGGCCTGGTATGAGCAGCTATATAGACTTCCTCAACCCTACAGCCAGAGCTTACTACGCACAATGGTACTCCTACGAAAATTTCATAGGATCCACAGAAGTTTTGGGGGGGATATGGAACGACATGAACGAACCATCAGTTTTTGACGACGCGTTGGAAAAAACTCTACCCATGGACGCTTTACACATTGGAAATGTAAAACACAGAGATATTCACAACATATACGGGCTTCTACATGTACATACACAATAATTATTATTTTTCACGAAACAAGACAACAAACGAATTCTTTTTTAGACCATGTCGACCCATCTGGGTCTTCTAACCCGCGATAATGCCACCAAACGTCCATTCATCCTCACTAGATCTCATTTTGCTGGCACTCAAAGATACGCTGCTATTTGGACAGGGGACAACGATGCTACATGGGGACAATTAAAAGTCAGCTATGCTCAGTGCTTGAACGCTAACATCATGGGCATCCCATTCTGTGGGTCGGATATTGGTGGCTTCACCAATCAGCCAACAGAACAGCTGCTGCAGAGATGGTATCAGGTATGAAGGAAATACAGTTCAATATAATGAAGTTAATCAGTTATTAAGTCAGCAGCTTGGACTCCATTCTACCGCGAACACTCAACAGAATTCTCAGCCCGCCGTGAACCTTACGTATACCCTGAAAACGTTCAAAACGTCATCAGAAACGCTATGCAACTACGTTACAAACACATACCCTTGTGGTACACCCTCTTCTATGAGCACACGAGGTACGCTGAACCCGTATTAAGACCACTCTTCTACGAATACCCAGAGGACGAAAAAGTTTTCAAAATCGATGATCAACTCTTTGTCGGTAAGTATTTTCACCAACTTACCGTATCTCGTCACCAACGTACCGTATCTCAACATCAACTTACCATATCTCGACAACAACTTACCATATCTCGGCATCAACTTACCATATCTCGACAACAACTTACCGTATCTCGACAACAACTTACCGTATCTTACTTCAGGTAAGGACGTCATGGTGAGGGCTGTACACGAGGAAAACGCAACGTCCGTTAATTTGTACCTTCCCGGTGATGACAGAACGATTTGGTACTCGATTAGTAATAATAAATCTTACGAAGGTGGACACCTGCGCAACATACCTGTCGATATAAACGCGGTAAGTATTTTTGTTATGCCAAAAATGTTTTTTTTATTTTCTTGTCGGTCTTGTAGATTCCCGTTTTTTATCGAGGTGGCAGCATAATTTTTAGGAAGGATATTCCGAGAAGAAACACTGTGGAAATGAAAGATGATTGCTACACAGCCTATGTCAATTTAGATGTGGTAAGTTTATACCCACGTACGTGTTTTATATTAATGAAAACTGTGTTTTGTTTTTAGAATGGAAAAGCACAAGGAACAATATATCTGGATGATTTGACGAGTTTTAGGTATAAAAATTTAAAAGATTACAACTATGCTCGTGCGAATTTCGAAGAATTAGATTCAAAATTTACTTTAAGGTAAGTACTTTTAACGCATTATTTGTTTAATCACCTTAATATGTAATGTTTACTTTTAGACCTATTGACGACAGTAAAGGAAAATACAATATAACATTGTGTGATATCGTTGTATATAAACCTAAAAGCAATGAAGTAATTGAGGGACTATTCTCTCAAGAAATTTACACTAAAAATAAACAAGGCAAATCTTTGAAAGATATCAAAATAAAATTATGGGAAACTATAGAACTAGAGTTGTAAATAATATTTACCAATATATGTATTTGTATTATTACAATTATCATTATAAAATATAAATATTTTTTTTATTTGTCAATAAAGTTGGCAACATTACCAATCTAGACAATTTTAATTCAGTGATCAATAGTGTTCTCAATAGGTATACCAATGGGCGACTTAAAGCCACTTTCCAATGATGAAGCTTTAAAATTATGTAACCAAACACCAGAAGAAACCAAGGTATGTATTAAGTTAATAAATAATTAAGATTTTGAAGTCTAACCTAACTTTTTGGTGAGAATGCATTGTTGCCAGATGGTGCACAAAATCCACACCACACTACATTACAGTGATTTAATTTTTCCTAGGACTTTCTTTTCCAACAAACAATGTACAGGATTAAAGATCCTAGAAAATCGCTGCCTTTTTATTCCAACGTTCTTGGCATGAAATTGTTGACGAAATTGGATTTTCCCTCCATGAAATTTTCCCTGTATTTTATGGGATATGAAGAGGTTAAAGATATACAGGGTGATCTGAGTGAAACCTCCCGCATTCAATGGTGTATGGGCAGAAAAGCTACCATTGAATTAACTCAGTAAGTTTTACAGGTTTATAACAATAAATTTTTCTATATTTTTTTTTTTTTTTTAGTAATTGGGGAAGTGAAAATGATGAAACAACGTATCACAGCGGAAACCAAGAACCCAAAGGGTTTGGTAATAAAGCAATAAAGTTGCTTATACTCATTGTATTTTTGTATTTTTTTTTTTTAGGTCATATAGGTCTTATGGTACCAAATGTGGATAAGGCTTGTGAAAGATTTGAAAAACTCGGTGTAAATTTTGTGAAAAAACCCAATGATGGTAAAATGAAAGGGATTGCTTTTATAACAGACCCGGATGGATATTGGATTGAAATTTTTAATGATAAACAAGTCGCTGATGTAGTTAAAGAATTTTCTTAATTTTTTTTTTTTTTAATATATTTTGTCCACATTCAACCTTGTTTTTTTTCGACTTATGATGCAGGATACGTTACAAAAACAACAGTTTTTTTATAATTATGTATTTTCCACAAACAGTATACAAAAAAACTTTACAAAAAATCAACAAAAATTACCAACTATTTAGATAATAATATTATACAGGAAAATCATTAAACCATTGAGAATTACATATTAAATACTAAATTAATTGATTTTTATGTAAATACCAAAAAATAGCAGTCTTGTTCAAGCTTAATTACACGGGGTGTCTATAAAAATGTATTAATTGCACATTACAAAAAAAATTGTAATTGTACACCCAGTAGAAAAATATTAATGAAGCCGGTGAACCAAATACGATCTATGGTTTCAATTCAATACAAAATTAATATAACAAACAAATTATTTTGGTGTTTCTAAAATTTATTTTGTGTTTTATGTTGTAGAAGTTATTAAGTCACATTTAACATCATAAGCTGACTAGATTGTACAAATATAATATGTTCTTACACAGAGTGTCTATTTAAAAAACATAAAATGGCCTCTGCGATCGCCAGATCTGACATCTTTAGACTTTTTTTAAATAGACACCCTCTATATGTATATATAGTAATAGTAGATTAAATATAGAAAATATTACACTGGGACAATTTTTCACCCAATGCCATTAATGTATCAAAATGTAATCGACCCTAATAAAATATTGGTGTAAATTACATCAAAAACGATAGATTGTTATCAAAAATTTAGTACAAATACAAATTTTGGTTGTTCTCAAAATCAGTCTTTTGGTACTGCGTGTACCAACCGTATTTTTTCAGTCACATTTTTGATTATTTGTTATGGTTTATAGAAATGACTTACGTTTTATACAGGCTCGTCCTGTATAAAAAAAAATGACAACGAATAAATAATGTTTTACGTATCAACCGATTTTTAACTTTTATTTTATTAAAATTATCACAGAACTTAAACTAATAAACATTTCGATTATGTTTCGAAATGTTTGTAGATTGCAGTAACATACGACATTACCTGTTGCCAATCGGGTCTCTCCAGTTGGATCATGTCGTTTATGTTCTGAAAAAAAAAAAAACGCGTCGTTTTTTTTTCTTCACCCTTTTATCCAGTACTTACCAATGTCGTGGGAATACCGACACTCTCAGCTGCTGTGAAAGCCAGAGAAAAGTTTCTCCTCTTCTCTTGCGGTGTTAAACTGTCATATGGGATTCTATCGGGTAAGTAGGTGTGCAAAATCGCGCACAGACCTAACCCGTCGTTCCAGGAGCTGGAAAAATTCGTAATGTCTGTGTTTCGGTAGCCTACACACTTATTTTGACACCACTTTAACAGAGCGTTTCTTTTAGAACCTCCATTTTTGACTAGGCTATTCAAAGGGTCCTTTCTTTCACCTAAACAACAAGAAACTGTTTGAACGTAGTTCAATTAGATTGCAAGCATAAAAATAACAAAAAAAAAATTTTACATATAGACTTACTAAGATCAGAATAACTATTTCTTCGAGAAAAATCGATTCCCTTCTGTAGAATCGACTCCCGATAGTTCTCATCTTGCTTAGACTTAACTAAATCGGTTTTATTCAAAGAATCTACAAACAAAAACCAAAAAAAAAAAAATTAAAACTCCACCTTTATAATCTCACCTGAAATGACGCTTTTGTTGTTCCAATTCATTTTGTTGGGTTGTTGCTCTTTTAAAGGCGTTTTAACGTTGGCTACTGGAGAAAGCGTCTCACTCCAATCTGGTGTTTTCAAGAGGTTACCAGGAGATGGTGTCGGCATTATCAGTGATGGACTTGAAGGGCTTTTAACATCTGAAGCCATGGAGGCTATAGATGATGAAGAGCTGCTCCTAGACAGTTGAGCTATAAGAAACGAGATGTACCACCACATTACACATCCAGAAGAGGTTATACCTGACTTTGATGAAGGTTTAGGACCGGCAGCATTTTCTATACTCTCGATCAAAGATTTCACAGATTGCCTGCTGCTTTGGCGAGACAAAGCGGCTTTCTGCCTTCTACTTTGAAAATCCTCGCTTGTCAGCGATGTGGGTCTTAATGTGACCTGTTCATTTGCAGTTTGTGCTACAACAAACAGTCACAAAGTTGTACACAAAGTATTCAAGACAGCCTTTCATCATTTAAACAATCAAAACCGTCAAAAGATGACAGCACATGTCGATGTGTTTGTAATATGAAAAAATCAGATATAGAAAATTACAGTGGAGGTTCAGATCAAAGCATTCAAGACCCTGATAAGGTTTTTCAAAAGACCCCAAGTTCAAAAATCAAGGTAATCATCAGCGAAAATAAATTGGCATCTGGAACTGTACCGACAGTGTTTGGTGGAATCGAACGCTTCTATGATAACCAAGAGGATATAAAACAACGACAACAACTTGATTTCTTAAAAGTCTCGCAGAAATTCGACTCCATTCCTGCGGCGATTGAAAATCTGGACGACATGGCTGACAACATAGATAACGCTACAGGGTACAACGATGCCAGTTGCAGCTTCTCTTTCATAGACGTAGCAGGGAAATTCGAAGATCTAAACATAGCCGGCAATTTAAATCACCAAAACAACGTGAACGATTCAAAGTTGAATCTCTTCAATCTCGAAAACGATAATATTTATGATGAACACACGCCTGGATTCAGCAGTAGTAATCCGTATTTTAGCGGAACTTACGTCACCACCTCGGATAGCAATGAAAGTCTGGAAGATACGCGCAATATTAACACGCAAACTAGAATTGGTGATGATTTCCTTAACTTCAACGATTTCGTACCTTTAGACGTTAACACGAGTTCTTACTACAACTCAGACATATTCACTACCACTTCAAACAAAAAAAACGTCAACTTCACCAATGATCCAAACTACAGATTCCCAGATACCTTCGACTTAAGCAGGGTCACAAATTCACGAATGAATTTTGACAATGCCAACAGAAGAAATGACGAAAAACTATTGGTCACAAATAATAACGAAGACGAAAGCATATCTTCGAATGCTTCTGATAAACCTGTTTCCGAAGAAAATAGTTAATTGTACCGTAAATATTAAAAAAACAACCAGCATTCTTCATTTTTTATTAGTATTAACAATCTACAAAAATAAAATCTACGCATCTTTAAAAACCACCTTCTTCAATGAAGAATACGGACTCGAACCTCTACTATCAGAATCAAACACCGGTGTGTACCCCAAATTAGAATCCAGAGATATTTTGTTCAACCTCCTTCTCCAAGAATTTGTTGCACACATCAAACCCTCTGAAGATTTCCCCCTTTCTTCGTTTTTTACAGCTTCGTCATCCAACCCCGGATATCTCCTCGCCATTTCTTCAATAACCTTAACATCGTCCATATTAATGACGGATAAAGGCCTTTCTTCCCTGCTTCGAATTTTTTTCACCAACTCCTTTTCTTCGCACGTCAAACTGTTCAACTTCTCTTCGATATCTTCTTTATTCAAGTCAAACGTATCTTCGCTTGATTTGGCGTTTATAACGAAATGTTGAGATTTAATGCTTTCTTTATCCAAGCCTGAGTAACGTTTAATTAACTCTTCCACTTTTGAAGATGGGGGTTTCTTCGATTGAAGACCGAAAATATAAGATTCATTTTTGAAGGTTTTTTCGTTGATTTCTTCAATTTCTTCGTTTTTTAAGTGAAGACTTTCTTCAATTTTACTTTTTAAATCAACTATTTTTGAGGATTGGCGATTTTTGGGAAGAAAGGTTTCTTCATTTTGATAAATTCTTTCTTCGATTTCTTCGTTTTTTGAGTGAGAATTTTCTTCATTTTTACTTTGATCATCTTTAAAATCAACAGCATTTTCGTCATTTTGACTTTCCGGGTATTCTTCGTTTTTTAATTGAAGATTATCTTCATTTTTACCACGAATTTCATCGTTTTTTACTCTAATATCATCCTGATTAATTTGTAATAAAACTTTGCTTGTGTATGTCGGTTTTTCCAACGATTTTTCTTCAATTAAGTTTGACATTTCTTCGGCGATGTCGTCGTTAGAATTTATCACTGTTTCTTCATCATTAAATTGTTCTTCGAATCTTACTGCGATGAAGAAATCATCGAATGATGTACTTGGTTCTTCTTGTGTTTCTTCATCTTCATCGAGGTTGATTCCTTTAATTTGATCAATTTTTTCTTCGATTTCTTCATTTTTTGAGTGAGAATTTTCTTCATTTTTACTTTGATTGTCAACAGTTATTATAGAAGCATTTTCCTCATTTTGACTTTCCGGGGATTCTTCATTTTTTAATTGAAGATTATCTTCATTTTTACCTCGAATTTCATAGTTTTTGACTCTAATATCATCCTGATTAGTTTGTAATAAAACTTTGCTCGTTTTTTTCAACGCTTTTTCTTCAATTAAGTTTGACATTTCTTCATTATTAACTTGTTCTTCGAATTGATCCACTCTTACTGCAGTGAAGAAATCATCGAATGATGTACTTGGTTGTTCTTCTTGTGTTTCTTCGTCTTCATCGTGGTTGATTTCATCGTTTAGGCCACATTTTTCCTTCATTTCTTCTACAACTTTTTTGTAAACATTTCTTACGTATACGGGTGCTTTCACCCCGTATTTGTTTTGCCTTTTTAAAGTCTGGGTAGGTGATGTTTGGATTTCTTCATTTTCAAAGTCGTCATCTTCAGTGTAGCAGTGGATTTCTTGGTTTTCGTATTCAATTTCTTCAGTGTTATGAGGGAGATATTCATTTTCAATATCTTCAGTATTCTCGAAAGATAAATCTTCAAATTTTCTGTTTAAAGGCGACGTGACATCGTACTCAACAATATTAAGGTTTTCTTGGTAATCTTCAGGGTTTATTTCGGTGTATTCGAAGCCATTCTTTTGGAAGTTGATGCTTGATGAACTGCTTACAATTTTTCCAGTTGGTCTTTTTTTAGAGCATCTTATTTGGCCAGAAATTACGTCGAAATTGCCACTTGAGTAACTCGAAGCGTTCGATAATGTTTCGGTGTTTGATTCTATAGATTGCCGTGGGTTAATATCTTCTAATGATTCTTGTGAGGCATTATTGAGGTTGTCGTAGAATTTTTTGTATTTTACTTTGTTTAGATTTGTTTTGGATTTATCAAGAGCATCTTTGAGTTTCAATGCGTACTGTTGCTCTTTTGTAAGTTGGATGAAGTCTTTATCCAATGGTATTTCATCTAGGATGTTGTTCAGTTCGCCATATGAATCGTGGATGGTCAACTTTTCTGAGCATCTAGGGTTTGATACTGAATCCTCAGGTCTTATGGAGGATTGTCTGTATAAGTTTATGGTGCTGTTTTCCAGTAGGTTTTCGAATGATTTTGTTCTCAGTAGAGTATCAATTCTTGGTTCGAATATGAAGGTTATGTCGGTTAAACTTTTGCTTTTGCCGATGTTGGAGTTAATGGAATCTCTTTTCGTGATGTGCACAGAGCTATGTCTTCTCATATCTGTGGTTGCTTTTGTTCTTTTGTGGGTTATTGTTTTATCCAACGCACTTTCTCTGATGATACTGTCGATCAGAGGTAAAGTGGGATCGTTGGCAATTTTTTCCAACTTTGGGTTAGCTATGACGGAATCTAACAGAGGTTTACTGATGGCAAGCTGTTCCTTGGGCTTTTTTGCCTTGGGTTTATACAGCAATTGTTCGCTCTGGTAAATGTCCTTCAACCTCTTAACACTTTTTTCTTCTTCCGTCAAACGTTCGTCAGGTATTTTAGGATCGATTCTACTGTGCCAATCATCGAGAGATTTTAGAAGCAAACTTTCCTCGACACTGACCGGTTTGGCTCTACCCCTAGCCTTTTTATCCCTCTTTTTAACCAACTTCGACAGTAAATCTTTCCTCTCTTTGCCTTCCAAAGCCATAAAAGCACCACTGGACATTTCTTCCTTACTGGATTTACTTTTCGAAGAGCTTTTACGTCTTTGCATTTCAAGCGAGTTGCACGCAAGACTATCCAGAGACGAACCTGGTTTAAAATTATCGAAATTAACACTTTAACGCGACTTTTTTTAACACCACAAAAGCTGAAAGTTAGATACACATGATGATACACATAAAAACGTTCTACCATGCAAACAAAACAAAATAATGGACACAAAAGTAAACACGCATTTCGCTCACCTTTTATTTTGTCTATCTGCGACTCCAGCTGTCTCAATTTGTCCCTTAGCACTTTGTTCTCCAAAATGAACTTCTGTAGGTCTTTTTGGGCCTCGGTTTTAAAGTCGTTGGCAACCCTGACCGAGGTCAGTAAATCGTCCTGGAATTTTTCCCAGTCTTCAGTCTAAAAGACATAAATGTTTTTACTTTGGTGATATGGTAAAGGCAAAACAAGTATGGGGTGAAAGCACCCATATACGTAAGAAATGTTTACAAAAAAGAAGAAATAAAGAAAATTAACGAAGAAATCAACCCCGATGAAGATGAAGAAACACAAGAACCAAGTGGATGAATTCGAAGAACAAGTAAATAATAAAGAAACAGTGATATATTCTGACGATGACATCGCCAAAGAAATGTCAAACTTACTTAATTAAAGAAAAATCGTTGAAACAACCGACACACACAAGCAAAGTTTCATTACAAATTAATCGGGATGATATTAGAGTCAACAACGATGAAATTCGTGGTAAAAATGAAGATAATCTTCAATTAAAAAATGAAGAATTCCTGGAAAGTCAAAATGAGGACATTGCTTGTATAATAACTGTTGATGCTTTCAAAGATGATCAAAGTAAAAATGAAGAGAATTTACACTAAAAAAAAACGAAGAAATCGAAGAAAAAATTGATCAAAATAAAGAAATCAACCCCGATAAAGATGAAGAAACACAAGAGTAAAAGTCCTGTTAAAAATGAAGATAATCTTCAATTAAAAATGAAGAATCCTCGGAAAGTCAAAATGAGGAAAATGCTTGTATAATAACTGTTGATGATTTTCAAGATGATCAAGGTAAAAATAGAGAAATTTCTCACTCAAAAAATAAAGAAATCGAAGAAAAAATTGATCAAAATAAAGAAATCAACCCCAATGAAGATGAAGAAACATAAGAAGAACCAAGTACATCATTTAATGATTTCTTCACCACAGTTAGATCGGATCAATTCAAAGAACAAGTTAATAATGAAGAAAAATATCAAAATTAATTGAAAAAAAATTGTTTAAAAACCGACATAAACAAGCAAAGTTTTATTACAAATTAATCAGGATGATATTAGAGTGAAAAACGATGGAATTCGTGGTAAAAATGAAGATAATCTTCAATTAAAAAATGAAGAATCCACGGAAAGTCAAAATAGGTAAAATAGAAGAAAATTCTCCCTTAAAAAACGAAGAAATCGAAGGAAAAATTGATCAAAATAAAGTCAACCCCGATGAAGATACACAAGAAGAAGAAACAAGTGCATCATTTGATTATTTCTTTACCACAGTCAATTCGAAGAACATGTTAATAATGAAGAAACAGTGATAAATACTAACGATGACATCAATGAAAAAATGTCAAACTTAATTGAAGAAAAATCGTTAAAAAACCGACATAAACAAGCAAAGTTTTATTACAAATTAATCAGGATGATATTAGAGTGAAAAACGAAGGAATTCGTGGTAAAAATGAAGATAATCTTCAATTTAAAAATGAAGAATCCACGGAAAGTCAAAATGAGGAAAATGCTTGTATAATAACTGTTGATGATTTCAAAGATGATCAAAGTAAAAGTGAAGAAAATTCTCACTCAAAAAAACGAAGAAATCGAAGAAAAAATTGTTTAAAATAAAGAAAGTTTATCATTCGATGATTTCTTTACCTTTGTCAATTGGAAGAACAAGTAAATAATGAAGAAACAGTAATGACGTCGCCGAAGAAATGTCAAACTTAATTGAAGAAATATCGTTGAAAAAACCGACACACACAAACAAAGTTTTATTACAAATTAATCGGGATATTAGAGTCAAAAACGAAGAAATAACATACTTTAAGCACTTTCTAATATTAGTAAAAATGTTTATGTTTATTGGAATGAAATATTTATGTTTTATCAGTCCTATCAAAGTTCAGTGGGTGGCAAATTAAAAGTGTAAGTTATACCTTAAGAAGAATTCACTGAAACCTTCAGAGTACCATCATAACCATTAAAATTATGTAAAAAAAATATAAAATTACCACCAAAGATTCATTTAAATGACTAAAAATGATGTTGACGATTGTAAATGTTTACATAAAATATTGTTCATATTATCTTTTGATATAGGAATTTTTTCTGATTAGATAAGATATGTGCAACGTGTCAAAAATAAACAAGTGACTCACCTCCTCTTTTCTCAGTTTTTTTATCTCTTCTATTTCCGCACTCAACTCCATGTGTTTGTTTTCAGTCTCGCTAAGATTCCTCTGGGTTTCGCTCAAAACCGCTGAGAGCTGCCTTTTGTCCTCCACTTGGCACTGACTTTGGTACTGCGGACAAATATTGTTTTTGCTGCAAGTGAATGCGTTTTTTTTTCATATTTACCTGAAGTTCGTTTATTAATTCTTGAAACTGTTGCATTTGCTCGGTGAGATTGTTTTTTTCTTGTTGGAGTTTATCGCATTTGTACTCCAGGTCGCTTTGAGTGGATTTGGCGTTGTTTCTTGTGACCTAAATACATTAAAATTGTTGATGGGATCATTGTAAATGAATTTTTTCGACTTACCTTGCATTCTTCTTGCAATATCGACACCTGTTCCTTCAGTTTCTCAGATTCGTTTTTGCTTCTGGCCAGTTGGTCTTTTAGGTGGGCCACCTCGGATTCCAAGGCGTCTTTTTCCTTCCTAGCGTTGTCCAAAAGTTCGTCCAGCTCGGACTTATCGCTCAAAGCTCTATCTTGCTCTAGCTCTATTATTTTAGTCCTGGCGTTCTCCAATAAATCTTTGAGACGATTGATTTCTATGTGCCGGCTGCTGCATTGATCTTTGGCCAGCGCGAGCTCGCGATCCAACTGCTTGTGCTCGGCGTGCTTGGCATCGAGAGTGCTCTCTAAAGTTTTGACTCTCTCGGCTAAGTTGATTATTTCCGATTCTTTATCGTTATTCTGAACGCGTGTTTCTTGTAACTCGCCTTGTAATTGGTCGAGTTTCAAGAGGAGATTCTCGCGTTCCTCCTGCGCGGATTTCAGGAGATCGACGAGTTTTTTTTCGCGCTCTACTGCCGACTCGAAGTTACCCGAGTTGTGTTCGTCTTTCTCTTTATAGAGAAGTTGCTTTAATGATTCAACCTCGTCTCTTGTATCGTTTAATCTTTCAGTTTGCCGACAAAGGGAATCGAACATCAACGTTTTTTCGTCGGTTAACCTATCATTTTCCTGCTGAAGTTCCGTAAGCTGCCGCTGCAAATCCGTAAGCTCCTGCAACGTGGCTTGAAGTTCCTCATTTGTACTAAAAAAACACAAATAACAACCAACAACAAGCTTGACGAAAGATAAAAAACCTGTAGTGAGTTTCCTGCATCTGGTTGATTTTATCCTGGAGACAGGCCACCGAAATTTCCGAGACATTTCCACTGCTGTGCTTGTCCCACTCGGGAGTAGTACAAGCGGTTACATCTCCAAGGTTATCTTCCAGCAACTAGGAGAGAAATAAAGAAATACACTTTCCACCACTCCATCACATTTTAATGTATTTTAAATTATTTTTTTTGCACTGTGCAGGAAATGTGCCAAGACGATCTTCAAGGGCAGCCCATATAAGAATATTTTAACAAAATTTTTTTACAATCTTAGTAAACCGTAGCGTAGAATATCTGTATTAAAGGTAGGTTAATATATTATAACAAAAATATCATCTAATTTTGTAATTTTAAGGTTGGAAAAATTTATTTTGACCAAAATAAATAAGTATTTTGGATTATTTAAAAGACTGTAAAATATGGTATTTAAAAATGTGATTTTTCTTATCCAGCTTAAAGTGTACCTACATAAAGTTTTGTCAATACAAATAGTTAAAAAGCTTCGACTGAATTTGATCTACATCAAAAAATCATTATAACTTTAAAAATTTTAATAAATCCCATGTCATGGGAGTATTAAATATTTTCACATTGCATGTTTCTCTAAAAATTGTTTGTTTTCTTATTATCTAAATTAAAGTAAGTATGCCGAGAGGTATGCACAAGTTTTGTCGTTAGAAGTATAAAAGCTTCAATTTAATTTGAACTATATTCAACAATTATTTAGTATACCTATATTTACTTATGACCATATTAACACACTCTTTCAAATAATCCACTTATTTATTTTGGTCAAAATAGATTTTTCTAACCTTAAAATACAAAATTAGATGATATTATTTGTTCTAATACATTAACCTACCTTTGATACAGATATTCTTATTTCATAATAGAGAAGTTGGATTTTTTTAATAAATGCTGTTTAGTTAAAACTATGTTATGGAGAAATGTAGACCCAATGCACAAAAATATAACTTATATTGCACCTTACACTTTGGAATTTCATTAAATGCAGTATTTATATTCATAAATTCTTAAACAAACCATTGATATTTTGATACTATACAGTTTTATTAACTTTTAACGCTTAAACATAAGCGGTAACACTATAAATATTATTTCTTTCGTTGACTATACTTTGACAGATACATAACCTGAAAAGCCTTTTATAGTTTGCCGAATATTTGAAGCTTCCTGCTTCCAATAGCTGCACAGGGCATTGTATGCGAAGGAGTGCAGCTATCATGTTGGTTGATAATCAACAGGAAGCTTCAAAGAATGACTCTCATACCTTGTTTTCTTGTACAGTGACGTTACTTACATTGGTAGCAATAGAAGCAGGCGCTGAGCTATGGTGTCTATGCGATTCGAATAAAAGCTGTTGTTTCTCCGTATCAGATAATGGTGAGTGAGCAACATCCCTCAACCTATTTCTCAAAACAGTATTCTCTTCCGTCAGCTTGTCCATCTGATGGTTTGATTCGTCCTGAAAACTCTAAAAGAAGTGTATTAGTTGAACTTCCAGACCAATTAGTTTTATGATGTAGTACCTTGAGTTTTTCTATTTCATTTTGTAAAATGTTGAGGTGGCCTTTCTGCTCACCCAGCTGCAAAGCAAGACTCGACTTTTCATTGGCCATCTCAGCTAGTTGCTTTTGAAGTATCTCGAGGTCCTGCAATGTATCCTGTTGAGAATCGCAGGATTCTAGTTTGTTGTTGTTTCTCGATACACCTAGAGAACACAATACACTCAGACATATAGTGAATGTGATTTTAGAAGAAACCCACCTTTTCTGTCATTCTTTTTCTCCCCCACCTTGTCGATTCTATCTCTGCTGGGCGCTTTTCTAGGCTTAGCCCCCTTATTTTTGCCCTCCGAGTTTAAATTGCTGATCGAAGAGGCTCTCGACAGGTCATCTTGATTTTGTTGATCGACAGCCACCTGTTGCGACTGTCCTCTACGGAATATCGCTTTGATCGACTTCATTTTGCGCATAATAGTTACTTTCAACTAGCAATCGCTACCGGTGAAATGTTTTCGTTTAACCTTTACTGCCGCAGTTCATTTTTTAGCATCTTAAAACTTTTTCCGAAAAAAAGCTGCAAAATTTGAGTTAAACGTGAGTCATTCAATTTTGACCTCAATGAGTGATATTTGAAACCTAAGATGTTTAATCTTCTTAAAAGGATATTGTATATCAGTAGGTACCTTGTTATTATTGATTACTAAAAGTTCCGTTGTTATTGTTAACTCCGCAAACTTGTCACTGCAGCGGCAGATGAAACCAACAATCATCCGGATATGATAGCAAAAAATAGTTATCAAAATTTCTACTTCACTCATAAAAATTTTAATAATTTTCGAAAAACAAATAAGAAAAATAATAAATAAATAAATGTTGATAGACCGATATGTTATCAATTTTAACTAATTAAACAATATTTACAAACATCTATAGAAATCGTACAATTGTATCAATGATTTTATTTTTATTATAATTTCATTACTACCGTTCAATATAGTTTCAATAATATTATAACGTTCAAGCTAATAAGTAAGTGTTACGAATTATAATATTTTCTATAATTTCTCTAAAATTCAATATAATTTAACCACGCCATTTTTACGAGGAAAATCTTAATTATAAATGTTTTTAAATATCTTAAAAATATCAGTTCACTAAGTAAACTAAACACATCCAAAGCAATCGAATCAAATATAAAATATTATTCAAAATTAAAAGAAATAATTTTTATAACCACTTATGTAGGTGTTACAAAAATTGATTCTATCCTCCGTGAATCTGCGTTTGCTTTAAATTTTATGCAACGGATGGCGCTTTAATCATTTTAAATAAGCAAAAACCTCCGTTTACGACATTATAGATGCATGTGATTCCTGAAAGTCAGTTGGAATTTATATGCAGATGAGAGTGTTGCTGTTTTATAATTCAAAAGTTTAAGTTCGTTAATTTGCTGTTTAAAATCCTAACCTCCGTGAAGCTCTAATATTCAAAATGTATGATTTCTTTTAATATATGTTTGGTACGTATAGTAGTGTCTAGATAAAAATCTAACCATAACCGGTAATACGACCTTAATAGTTGTTAATATACAAATTACCATCATAATTGTGGGAGTAAGGCGCCTAAGACTTTCTATTGTTTTAACAATTGACACTCGTGTAGCTAACATCCTACTTGCTATATTTGAAACGTTTTAGCGAATTAGTGGGATTTTCGTTTTGAAAAATTAGACAATTAATATGTTTATTAAGCAATTTTCAATAAATTATATTCCAACTAAGTGAGTAATAATCAACCGGCTATATATACGCATAAATCCTTTTATGGTAAATCGACTTATAAATATCGAAAAAAAAAATTAATACTAAAGGTATTATTAATGAGTTTACTTATGGGTGTGCCACTGCTTTAATTGATCAAGGTTAGGGGGTATCTCCAAAAAAATATGCAGATGTTTTACATATAGTTAAAAGATGTCAAAGGAAAGATTTCTGACCTTTTCATCAAACTGTCGCCATATTGGTAAAGCCACAGCAAAGCAAATCCTTTATCAGTGTTTGTACCATGTTGTGGTCATTCTCTTAATTTAGTTGAGAATTGAAGCAACGATTTTTTTGGAGAAGATGAGTTGTCTCGAAACCGCTCTATTAGCCATCTTGATCAAGATTTTGCAGATGACTCTTGAGTCTGCAACGCATCCATTGAATCACTGAAATTATTTGTTGAATCCAAATGAGAAGAGTTTGACAAATACGAAGAAGGTGCACCAAAACTAGAAATCTGAGGTTAAATCCGGCCGATTATATGAAAGCACAAGATGCTAACTTGCCACCAAAAGATAAATTTAAAGTGTCAGGCATTATCCCAGTGATATCTTACTGAAAGATTGCATGCATACAATGACGTACGTTCAAAATTTGACTTTCTTAATCATTTAGAGGATATGGATGCTGCAAATTTGTATGCTGCATCAGATGAATTGGTAAAAGTTTACAAAGACGATTTAGAACCTAGTCTTGGTAACAAGTTGGTTCAATTTGTATCTTTGATGAACTTATACAAAACAGACTATAAAAAAGACCTATCTAAGGAGCTGTTCTATCATCAAATTCTTGAAGATCAAAATTTCAGAGCTACATTCCCAAACATGTGAGCACGTACGGAACGCAGTCTTTTAAAAATTTGGCATTTAAGGCTTTTCAGGTTATGTATCTGTCAAAGTATAGTCAATGAAAGAAATAATATTTATAGTGTTACCGCTTATGTTTAAGCGTTAAAAGTTAATAAATCTTTATAGTATCACAATAACAATGGTTGGTTTAAGAATTTAGGAATATAAATACTGCATTTAATGAAATTCCAAAGTGTAAGGTGCAATATAAGTGATATGTTTGTGCATTGGGTCTACATTTCTCCATAAAATAGTTTTAACTAAACAGCATTTATTTAAAAAAATCTAACTTCTCTATTATGAAATAAGAATATCTGTATCAAAGGTAGGTTAATGTATAAGAACAAAAATATCATCTAATTTTGTATTTTAAGGTTAGAAAAATCTATTTTGACCAAAATAAATAAGTGGATTATTTGGAAGTGTGTTAATATAGGTATACTAAATAATTGTTGAATATGGTTCAAATTAAATTGAAGCTTTTATACGTCTAACGACAAAACTTGTGCATACCTCTCGGCATACCTACTTTAAGTTAGATTATAAGAAAACAAACAATTTTTAGGGAAACTTGCAATGTAAAAATATTTAATACTCCCATGACATATGATTTATTAAAATTTTTAAAGTTATAATGATGTTTTGATGTAGATCAAATTCAGTCGAAGCTTTTTAACTATTTGTATTGACAAAACTTTATGTAGGTTCACTTTAAGCTGGATAAGAAAAACTACCACATTTTTAAATACCATATTGTACAGTCTTTTAAATAATCCAAAATACTTATTTATTTTGGTCAAAATAAATTTTTCTAACCTTAAAATTACAAAATTAGATGATATTTTTGTTATAATATATTAACCTACCTTTAATACAGATATTCTTATTCCATAATAGAGAAGTTAGATTTTTTTTAAATAAATGCTGTTTAGATAAAATTAAAACCATCCATTGTTATTGTAATGTTATAAAGATTTATACATTTTTAACGCCTAAACATAATATTATTTCTCTCGTTGACTATACTTTGACAGATGCATAACCTGAAAAGCCTTAAATGCCGATTTTTCAAAAGACTGCGTTCCGTACGTGGTCACGTGGTGGGACTTTGAGGTGTGGAGCATAGTACTAGCCCAATTAAAAACTTTTTTTTTAACAAATTTTTTATATTAAAAATAAAACCAAGAATGTGGAAAATGCAATCTTAAGACAAAGTAGGATGCATCTGAATGGGAACGCAATTGAAATTGTAACGGATGTAACCTTGCCGAAGAATGTTCAATACATTGTTGCCAAATTGATTTACTTTTAAAATGTTTTATATTAACAATATATTAATATTAAACATGTGTAGGTACCTACAGATGCTCTATTTCCGATTTTGGTAACTTGTGTTTAATTTTGTGGAATGACAGATTCTTCAAGCGAAGAATTGAAGAAATGTGGAGAAAGAGAGAAACTAAAAAAAATGTTCCGATTTTATTAATTCGTTTGACCTACTATTTACAACGCGAACTAAAAGGTAACATTCGCCAGATGTCAAATGAAGACCGAAGAAGAAAAAAGAGCAGTCAGTCGAGTGAAAGAAGAATTCTTCGTCTTCTTCTTCAACTTGGATGGTCAAGGTCGAGTTGAGAAAATATTTATTTATTAGGTTTATTATTTAGGTACCTACAATTGTTTTTAAATTGTGTTTTTTAGTACATTTTCATGTCAGCTATGTTTTTTAATCTAATTAACTTTAATCGATTCAGTAAAACAAGTGCATATCGCAAATGAAATACCTAGTCATAATTTTTTCTTTTATGTTTCCTGTCCGTATACCTTACGTGGTTTTTTTACAACTAGATCACAACAATTCCAAGGCCACCTGAGTTAGTCGTTTTTATTGTTATTATCTACTGGTAACAGTAGTAGATAACGTGAATAGAGATTGAAATATTTGGGCAATTATTCATTATACTTTTATGGCAAAATTTATAATTATTTTTAGGTTTTTAACTGAATATGTGTTGTTGACACTTTCACATGTATTTCTTTAAATTGATCAATTTTTGAATTAATAAATTATACACTTTTAATTGTATATTTCATAGAGTGCCACAGGGTGCAATATTGGGCCCGTTTCTTATGATCATCAGTATAAGCGACTTTATACATTTTATTTTTGTGTTTTTCATTGAATGTTTATGGTTTGTGGTATTAAACTAACTTTCAAAACTCAAAACCTACTCCAAAACAACGTCACTAACAAATTTTGCAGCTTTCTTTGGGTGAAAAATAATCCAAACAAATGGGGCACTCAAAACCATAACTCAACCACACACCACCTCAAAGGCGACAAAAAACTCACGAAAACTCAAAATTGAGGCGCCGACACACGCGCGTTTCTCACTCTTTATCGCTACGATGCATTTTTGGCGAAATTTACGAAAAAAAAAAAATCGTATACGTTGTTTACGTTCGATTGCCGTCGATAAACTGGTTGTGTCGTTGAAATTTGAACGTTCTGAAAGACCGTTGGATTGTGTTTCGCTTGCTTGAAGCAAGCTAGTGGTTGTGGTGGGGTCAGGTTAGGTAGATACGGCAACAGGGCTGTATTAAGGGACAATGTAATTGGATATTGCGGTGTCAAGTTACTGTACAATGTTTTTAAAAGAGTCTTATATTTTCTTCTAAAAAATCTCACAGTAAAAAATTTTGTAGTGTAGGGGTAAAAGTATTAGAGTTACACTACAAAATACACTAGGTAGCATTTAGTGCTTATTAACTTTATTAAACACATTTAAAGAATATGAACATTATTCATTGGTACATTCGCACTATTTACTACTAAAATAAATCAAAAGGGTAGAAAAACTTAATGCGAGTGTTTATTACCCCTTAACGTGTTAAATAGCGACACAATGTACACTACAGTGCATGCCAATTTCTTTGTCTGTTTTGATGTTACTAAGAGCTCTTTTTTCTTTACACTACTAGTGCACATTGTATCACAATTAGAGTTAAATTACACCAATAGTGGCAAAATAGACTGAAAAAACTGGTAATAACAGAAATGCGTTTTAAAATGTTTGGTTGGTACCTATCTACCTACGCAGTGCATATCCGGAGATACCGCGTTGTGGAAGTGTGGCATTTTTGTTTAGTTAGATTTTAATTACGGTAAATCAATATGTTAAAAGAATGTCCATACCCGACCTATATTATATATCAATAATTATTGCAGTAGGTATGGTACTTGTAACATTAATAATATAAATACATACACACTTGATTTACTTTTTATTTTCAAGCGTAATGGTTGTTATATTAACCTATACCTACATTTTTATTAATATTGTGGAAAATTTGTACACGTGTGGTAAATCCCCGACATACAGCCGCCTGACGCCTCTCTACCAATGGGATCACCCATTTTTTATAACAGAAAAATGGATTGCTGATGAATTCTCATGATAATTCATTGCTTACAAGTTGACAGCCAGTAAAACATTGCATTGATCTAAAACTTTCACGTTTTAAGGAACCATTTTGCTTAAGCCAGCCATACGACTCAAATATAAAATTATATTTTAAAAGGCGCCGATTTTGATAATTGTCATAGATTTTTGTTCCAAATAAATGTTTCTCTTTATTTACCTTTTCGTTTTATTCACTACCACCAATAGGTTTTACTCAAATAATAGTGTTAATTTACACTAGAAGTTTGAACTAAAAGAGTAAAAGTACCTTTCTAAAATTATAACTTTTCCAAAGTAGTGTTAATTTACACTGAACTAAAGTGGGATTTTACCCAGGAAGTGTAGAAGTACACGATTTTAGGTAAATTAACACTTTTTAATACAGTGTAAAATTACTTTATCCTCAGTGCTATAGTGTTAAATCGTACTTGCTTACTTGGGGAAAACTACACTACAAATTAACTCTAATTGTAGTGTTATAAAACAACACCATTTAGTGTGGACCTGTGTGAACTCTAATTAGTGTTGCTTAGAATTGATTTTTTATTACTGTGTATTTTTGGTTCTAGTACGGCCCTGTTCAAATTTCAAAAAGAACAACATGACCCATGTAGTAGGAAATAGGCGTAAAACTTCTTGGTATTGTAGCCTTAGTCCTTCTTAGCTTTTATGATACATTATCATGGTTTTTTTTTTTAATTTTTTTTTATTATTAAGCCAAATAAGCATTATGATAGAGAATTAAATTTTCTACAAAAAATGTATCCTATGGTTTTTTCGTAAATCTATCCAAGATCAAAGTTTAAAAAAGTTTTTTAAACGTATAAATTGTTGACCTAACCTTATTAGGTAGAATTGGACACGCCACTTAACCTACAAATCAAAATTCGGTTGGTTAATCGACAAATTTGTCACGTTAGCTACCGCGTTACAAATTTTTTTATTCTTGCTTGTTAAATGTTAAGAAAGACTTTAAAAGAAATAATCTTATTCTTAATTTAAGCATAGTGCATATTTAACAAGTGTTTATTGTATGATGCCATAGGTTGGGGAAAATTAGCTACAAAGGGGAAATAATTTTCACAAAGAAATTAACTCTAATAACTGAATAAGGAAGTTTCTGAGAAATACATATGTACATATGTATGAGCTAACTGGCAATTTCCTTTAATGGAAAAGATAATCTAATCCCATTAGTGCATTCCATATGTGTTTTCTGTACAATGCAGTCGAAATTTTGGCCTTTTTATCGCATTCACAATGGAATGCATCTGTTTTTACTAAACATCTGTTTAGAAGTACATTAATTATCATACGAAACGTAGTGACATGTTTCCCAAGAACATAACATTTAAAAAAAATTAAAAGTGTATAAAAAAAATTAACTGAATAAAAAGTGTGTTAAAACGCAAAAAACATCAGTGGCACACATACCAAATTTATAAACAGCGAATTCCGCAACATAAAAATAAACTCCATCTATAATCTCATTTCTTGGTATTCGCACATGAAGTAGAAAACATTTCACCGGTAGTCGTTGGCAAGATTCAAAGTTGCATTGGAAAAATAAAAGTTCAAAAAACTTACCTTCTCAGGGTGACGTTAGCTACAGCGACTGAAACTGGCCGTTTTAGTAACGTTTTCTTCACTTTAGCATCGTTTTGTTGGTTGAGAGATTTGGTTGAAGACTGCAAATAAATAAACAGAAACTTGTAATGAAGAAGTTAAGGAAAAAGGCCATACATTTACTGATAACTCTTGTTATCTAAATAATTAGCTATAATAAAAATTAAATAATGAATGAAACGATTATGAACATTGTTGATAAGTTAGTAATATGGTTTATGTTATGAATACACAGTAGGATGTATGAAATAATGAAATAATGAGAGAAAGAAAGAATGAAAAAATTAAATAATGAAATAATGAAGAAATTAAATAATGAAAGAATAAAAGAAAGAAATAATAAAAGAATAAAAATATGAAAAAATCAATATTGATTTCTTTGAAAGAATGAAACAATGAAAGAATAAAAGAATGAACTAAAGTAATAATGATTTCTTTGAAAGAATAAAAAAATAAAGGAATGAAAGAATAAACAAAAAGAATGAAAAAATTAAATAATAAAAGAATGAAATAATGAAAGAATGAAAATATAAAAAAATCAATATTGATTTCTTTGAAAAAATAAAAGAATGAAAAGAAAATATAACAAATGAATGCAAAAAAACAATAAAGATTTTTTTGAAATAATGAATAAAGAATGCAAAAAGGAATACTGATTTATTTTAAAGAATAAAAGAATAAAAAAAAGCAATAAAACTTTCTTTGAAAGAATCAAAAAATAAAAGAATGATGATAAATAATAGAATAAAAGAATGCAAAAAATAATTTCTTTCTTCTTTCTTTTAATGAATGAAAAAATAAAATAATGAAAGAATGATGAAGAATAATAATTTCTTTGAAATAAAAATTAAATAATGAAAGAATAAAAAATTAAAAAATCAATATTGATTTCTTTGAAAGAATGAGAAAAAAACATAATGAAAGAATGAAAAATGAAAGAATGAAATAATGAAAAAATGAAAGAATAAAATAATTAAAGAATGATGAAGAATAATGATTTCTTTAAAAGAATAAAAAAATACAAAAATTAAAGAATAAAAGAATGAAATAATGAAATAATAAAGAAATGGAATAATAAAAGAATAAAAAGATAAAAGAATAAAAAATTGAAAAAATCAATATTGATATCTTTGAAAGAATGAGAAAAAAATATATTGAAAGAATGAAAAAATTAAAGAATAAAATAATGAAAGAATGATGACGATTAATAATTTCTTTGAAAGAATGAAAAAATACAAAAATTAAAGAATAAAATAATGAAATAAAGCAATAATGAAAGAATCAAAAAATAAAACAATGAAAAATGAAATAATAACAGAATAAAAAAATGAAAGAATTTTAAATCAATATTGATTTATTTAAAAAAATAAAAGAATGAAAGGAAAAAATTATAAAAGAATGAAAAAATTAAATAATAAATGAATGCAAAAAAATAATGATTTCTTTAAAATAATGAAACAATGAAAGAATAAAAGAATGAAAAAATAAAAGAATGCAAAAAGGAATACTGATTTATTTGAAAGAATAAAAGAATGAAAGAATGAAAAAAATTAAATAACAAAAGAATAATGATGATTAATAATAGAAAAAATTAATAAAATAAAGAATAAAAGAATGCAAAAAAGCAATAATGATTTATGTGAAACAATTAAAGAATGAAAAAATAAAAGAAAAATAGAATGAAAAAAATGAAAAATGCAAAAAAGCAATAATGATTTCTTTGAAAGAATGAAAGAATAATGATGAATAATGATTTCTTTGAAAAAATTAAAGAATAAAAAAATAAAGGAATGACAAAATGAAAGAGCAAAAAATGAAACAGTAAAAGAATGAAAGAATCAAAAAATGAGAGGAAAAAACAATAAAGGAATGAAAAAAGCAATATTAATTTCTTTGAAAGAATGAGGATAAAATAATAAAAGAATGAAAGAAAAAAGAACAATTATGATTTCTTTGAAAGAATGAAAAAGTTAAAGAATGAGAGGATAAAATAATAAAAAAAAATAATGATTTTTTTAAGTAAATTTCTTTCAGTAAAATCAATTTAAACAAAATTACTTTTTTGAAAGAATGAAAGAATAAAAAATGAAAGAATAATATAATGACAAAAGTAATTACGATTTATTTCAAAGAATGAAAAAAACAAAGAATAAAAGAATGATTTTTTTGAAATAATTAAACAATTAAAGAAAGAAAGAGTGAAAAAATTAAGAAATGAAAAAATGAATGAATAAGAAAAATAATAATATAATAAAATTAAGATTTTTCTTAGTAAACGAATGAAATAATATTAGAATAAAAAAATTAAAAGAAGCAATAATAATTTCTTTTTATGTAGGTACTCAAAAATTAACCAGTAAAATCAATTTTTTAAAATGAAAAAATGAAATAATGAAATAATAAAAGAATGAAAAAATAAAATTGGTTAAATCAATTGTAAAAATAAAAAAAAAGTTGTCTTCCTTACCGCTTCTTTTTTGGTC